TTTCTTCTTTGCGACTCGCTCAGTGCAACTAAGTGCGTTTTCTTGTTAGGGGGACTGATCTTTCTTCTTTGCGACTCGCTCAGTGCAACTAAGTGCGTTTTCTTGTTAGGGGGGGCTGATCTTTCTTCGTTGCGACTCGCTCAGTGCAACTAAGTGCGTTTTCTTGTTAGGGGGGGCTGATCTTTCTTCTTTGCGACTCGCTCAGTGCAACTAAGTGCGTTTTCTTGTTAGGGGGGGCTGATCTTTCTTCTTTGCGACTCGCTCAGTGCAACTAAGTGTGTTTTCTTGTTAGGGGGGGCTGATCTTTCTTCTTTGCGACTCGCTCAGTGCAACTAAGTGCGTTTTCTTGTTTGTCAGGGGGGGCTGATCTTTCTTCTTTGCGACTCGCTCAGTGCAACTAAGTGCGTTTTCTTGTTAGGGGGGGCTGATCTTTCTTCTTTGCGACTCGCTCAGTGCAACTAAGTGCGTTTTCTTGTTAGGGGGGGCTGATCTTTCTTCTTTGCGACTCGCTCAGTGCAACTAAGTGCGTTTTCTTGTTAGGGGAGGCTGATCTTTCTTCTTTGCGACTCGCTCAGTGCAACTAAGTGCGTTTTCTTGTTAGGGGGGGGCTGATCTTTCTTCTTTGCGACTCGCTCAGTGCAACTAAGTGCGCTTTCTTGTTAGGGGGGGCTGATCTTTCTTCTTTGCGACTCGCTCAGTGCAACTAGGTGCGTTTTCTTGTTTGGGGGGGCTGATCTTTCTTCTTTGCGACTCGCTCAGTGCAACGAAGTGCACGAAGTGCGTTTTCTTGGTGGGGGGGGGCTCAGGCCCCAAAAGCAGCAACAGCTATTGTGTGTTGCTCTAATTCTGGGCTGTTGAAAGGTAATCCGCAAGATCCTTACCTTGGGTTACGCAAGCAACCGGTCCCCTTTGCAGTGGCTTCCCTATATAGGATTATGGATTCGGATTGGCCAAGCCTCCATTTCGAACAGCCCAGCTAATATTTTCCAAGTTTGTTCCACAAATCACGACTAGGTAACTTGGTAAACTTTTGGTCACTTAGTATGGTTTTGTTTTTCAATTTTGTTCGAATTTGGTAACTTGTTTTTGACCAGCGCCGAGTTTTCCCACCATTGAAGAAGTTCCTCTGCAATCGCCCCATCACCAGCGTTCCACAAATCACGACGACTAGGCAACTTGGTAAACTTGGTCACTTACTATGGTTTTCGCGAATTTTGTTCGACTTTAGCAACTTCTTTTTGCCAACTAATGGGGTTGTCCGTATTAAACCACTAAAAGTTAGTCGCTTTTAACAGGGCTTCGCAGAGTTTGCAACCGAGCCATCAGCCTCAGGTGAGCCACAATCAAAACCTGGGTAGATGAAGCTTAGTAAAGGACAATCCCAGCCATAAATAGCCATTTTTGTGACTCAGGTGAGTTATTGAAAATTGGTGGGGGGGGGGAGGCTCGTTTTTTGAGCTACCATTTGTGTTGGGTGGCGAGCCATCAGCCTCAGGTGTCCTTGCTGTTCTGCGCGGTGTACCTCCTGGTAGGCGTGCCTTTGTACGCCTCGGTCATCGCCAGGATCTCGCTGCGGGTCGCGGACGACGCGCGGCCGGAAGGTTTTGGGCGTGAGTTGGTCGCAGGGTCGCAGGTTTGCCGGCCCTTGGGGTTGGTTTAAAGAGAACCAGGAAGAAAAACCATCACTTTGGTGCATGTTGCCAAGGGATGTTAGGACGTTAACTTTTTGCCAACAAATGGGTTTTCCATTAAGCCACGAAAAGTTAAACTTTGAGCAGGGGAGCAGAAAGCAACCGAGATCAGTTTGTATCCCCCCCATATTTTGACACATGCCCAAGTGCTCTTTTGTTTTGGTGCTGGGCGCAAAACTTTGACAATGGTGATGCAATGGTGTGATGAAATAATAATTACTCCAGACACAACTTATGGAAAGTACGAAGAGCAAACATGCCAACTGTCCATATGTTGGGTGGTGGTGGTTTAGACTTTCTTCAGACCTCAAAATGGTTCCCGTGTTGACCTCTTCCATTTGCCTGGACACAGTTTTTGTCGAGCGGCTTTAGTGTTAGCAAGTCATGCTCGATTGTTTTCGCTCCAATGTCTTGGCGTGCCATGTTCATGCTTAGCATAGCCTCCAGTACTGCCTTGCCACGGTTGACCCCCAGAGATCTCGAAATGGGTCCTATTCGTCTTCCATAAGGTGTCCATGCACATGCGTACGGATCTGTCCTTTTTTGACGGTCCCGCGTTGTTTTGGTGGTTTTAACAGGAAACCACAAGGAAGAACACAATCGTTGGAGGCACCCTAACAAAGGACAGACCCATATGTGTTGGCTCAAGAGTTGATCTGAGGACATTCTGAAGAGACGACAGCAAGAGATCAAGCGACGGACAATGGCATCCCTGGATGGTTGTGACTTGGCTTCGGCGTGTTTTCGTATGAGTACGCGAGAAACGGAACATATTTTTGGTAATCTTCAGTTGAGACTTGAGTGCATTTGTTTTTCCGTGTTTGTTGTTTTTCCCGCTTTTTTCCGCTTTTTTGTTTTTTCTTTCGGGGGTCCATGTCATATGGGAAGCAGGAGAGTAAGTGCGTGTATTGAGTTAGGGGGTGTGCTCAGCAGTTGGGACCCGAGAACCCGATCCCAGGGATTTTCTGTGGCTTTGAGAAACAGGAACCAGGCAATTAGGCAGGGCTCCTTAAAAGATACATTTTGCCTTTCCATTTGAAACATGTTGCTTTTTCCACCACCATTTACAAGGCAATGTTCAGGTGTATAATGTAAGGATCCCTGTTAGGGGAAAAAAGGGACCGCAGGTAGTCCTTGTTTGCAACTTCACTGTTCTTGGCATGTTTAATAGTTTTTGAGTTTTTTGGTTCTGTTCATTTTTACTGGGGGTCTGCAAAAAACAAAGTTTTTCGCTACCATACAAGTAGAGCCGGCGAAGCCGGTGGGCGGAAGTTTCAAAAATATAAAAACTATAGTTCTCTTTCTCTTTCTTTTCTTGACTCTTTTTCTCCGTCATTCTTCCTTTCTTCCTTTCTTTCCTTCCTTCCTCCCTTCTTTTATTCTTTCTATCAGTCTTTTCTTTCTTTCGTTTGCTTGTCTATCTATCTTTCTCTACCTATCTATCTACCTAACTACCTGTCTATCTATCTCTCGTGTTATCTATCTATCCGCTTACCTATCTATCTATCTCTCTATCGATCTTATCTATCTATCTCTCTATCTCTCTATCTATATGTCTACCTATCTCTCTATCTCTCTATCTATCCATCTCTCTATATCCCTCTATATCTTTCTCTCTCTCTCTATCTATCTATGTATCTATCTATCTAGTTACCTCTCTATCTATTTATCTATATATCTATCTATCTATCTATCTATCTATCTATCTATCTATCTATCTATCTATCTATCTATCTATCTATCTATCTATCTATCTATCTATCTCTATCTATCTATCTATCTATCTATCTATCTATCTATCTATCTATCTATCTATCTATCTATCTATCTATCTATCTATCTATCTATCTATCTATCTATATCTCTATCTCTCTTTCTATCTATTTATCTATCCATCTCTCTCTCTCTCTATCTATCTATTTATCTATCTATCTGTCTGTCTATCTATCTTCTGCTGGTTTATCTATCTAACTATTTATCTCTCCATCTATCTCTCTATCTCTCTTTCTTTGTACCTGTTTATCTCTCTATCTCTTTATCTATCTCTTTCTATCTATCTATCCATTTATCTCTCCATCTGTCTGTCTATCTCTCTATCTATCTATCTCTATATCTCTCTATGCATCCCTCTGTCTACCTATCTATCAATCTCTCTATATACCTCTCTATCTCATTCTCTCTACCTATCTATCTATCTACCTCTCTATCTACTTATCTATTTATCTATCTATCTATCTATCTATCTATCTATCTATCTATCTATTTATTTCTCTATCTATCTACCTATCTATCCATCTCTCTCTATCTCTGTTTCTATCTATTTATCTATCTCTCCATCTATCTATCTATCTATCTATCTATGTATCTATCTATCTGTCTATCTATCTATCGTTTATCTATATATTTATTTATTTATTTCTCTATCCATCTATCTATCTATCTATCTATCTATCTATCTATCTATCTATCTATCTATCTATCTCTTGTTCTTTCTATTTATCTATCTCTCTCTATCTCTCTCTCTCTCTATCTCTCTCTCTCTCTCTATCTATCTATCTATCTATCTATCTATCTATCTATCTCTCTATCTCTTTATCTCTCTCTCTCTCTGTCTATTTATCTATCTATCTTGCTCTCTCTCTCTCTCTCTATCTATCTATCTATCTATCTATCTATCTATCTATCTATCTATCTATCTCTCTCTCTATCTATCTTTATTTCTATCTCTTTCTCTATCTCTTTCTATCTATCTCTCTAACTACCTCTCTATCTGTCTATCTCTCTATCTCTTTATCTCTCTCTCTGTCTATTTATCTATCTATCTTGCTCTCTCTCTCTCTCTCTCTCTATCTATCTATCTATCTATCTATCTATCTCTCTCTCTCTCTATCTATCTATCTATCTTTCTATCTCTTTCTCTATCTCTTTCTATCTATCTCTCTAACTATCTCTCTATCTGTCTATCGATCTATCTATCTATCCATCTATATCTGCACTTAACAGTTGCGTTTTCAATTGTTCTACTTCAAGTCTGTGACGAAGCTGCGCAACTCAGACAAGACCTCGACTGCACCCCTGGAAGTAATTCTGTTTTCGTCCAAGTTCAAAGCATCAAGCGTGGAGCGTGTTGCTCGAAGTAGGTTGAGCAACTCGACCAGAAACGCGTACTACTTTCGTACTTAAAAGTTGCGATTTTCAAGCCCCAGCTGCGAAAGTTGACTTCGCGTACCACTTTCGTACTTAAAAGTTGCGATTTTCGAGCCCCGGCTGCGAAAGTTTGCCTTGCAAAAGTGCTGCGCCTGCCACGAAATCTGTACTTGACCTTGCGAAAGTGCTGCGCCTGCCACGAAATTTTTACTTGACCTTGCGAAAGTGCTGCGCCTGCCACGAATTTTGCACTTGACCTTGCGAAAGTGCTGCACCTGCCAGCAATTCTGCACTTGACCTTGCGAAAGTGCTGCACCTGCCAGCAATTCTGCACTTGACCTTGCGAAAGTGCTGCACCTGCCATGAAATCTGTACATGACCTTGTGAAAGTGCTGCGCCTGCCACGAAATCTGTGCTTGACCTTGCGGAAGTGCTGCGCCTGCCACGAAATCTTTACTTGACCTTGCGAAAGTGCTGCGCCTGCCACGAGCTCTGCACCTGACCTTTCGAAAGTGCTGCGCCTGCCACGCAATTCAATCCTTGGGAAAACTTGACCTTGCGAAAGTGCTGCGCCTTCCACGAAATCCGCACCTCACCTTGCGAAAGTGCTGCGCCTGCCACGCAATTTAATCCTTGCGAAACCTCCGCGTTGCCGTGCCAATGGGCCCGCGCTCCGAGCATGGTCCGAACGCGCTCCGAACGCGCTCCGAGAGTGGTCCGACCAGGCGCCGCGAACAGGCCATGCTTTTTGCAGCTTTCTATACTCCCACCACACGCGCGCACATATTTTCTCGCGCGCTTATTCCTTCTCTTCATCTGTCTCAGCGAGAGCTGGCTTTCAATTAGTTGCCGTAACACGGAAGTTCCTTCTAAACTTCCTTTGACCAAGAGTAGAGATGTTGCCTATTTGCCAGGGTTCCATGTGGAAGACTTGAAGACTTGATGTAAACAGCCTCCATGTTTTTGCGGGTTCAGCAACAAGCCGCTCAGGCGACGACGAGTGCAAGCTGGACGTCTTCTCGATGTATGATGCCGACCAGGATCCTAATACAGGGGTCTTCATTGGTCTCAAGTTGAAAAACCATTTGGTTTCACTGCTTGGTCTCATTGAGAGGGTTTCCCTGTTCCCTTTGAAACCAAATGAGAGTGGTTTCCCTGGTTGGTGGAAAAGACCAAGTTTCCCTGTTGTTTCCCTTCACCAACCTCGAAGTGGGTGCCCTGACAAAAGCATATGCAACCATGCTTCGATCCTTTTTAACATAAGTGCGTCTTGAAGAATAGGGGACCCCAAAAAGAGTGGCTTCCTTTTGGTTTTCTGTTTTGAACCAACCATGAGGGGTTCCCCGCTCGAATATCGGTGTTGTGCAATAGAAACTTTGAGGAATCAGCAAGCTCGGGATGCCGCAAACAGCAACAGGTCGCCCAAAAAGCAGGATGCATGGCTCAAGAAAAACACATGAGCGGTAGTGCCGGGAGCCATGAGAGAGAGTTTGGCCCTGAATGGCCCTTTTCTGAACCGCAATAGTGACGAATGGTGTCTTGTAGTGACCAATTGTCGCTAATAGTCACTACTGGGCTGCAATCGCTCCCCCTGCTATGGCTCTGAATCTATACACGCATCCTCACGCCTTGACTGCGAATGTGTGTGTGTGTGTGTGCCAGGACGGGCGCATCACCAAGCAGGAGTTGCCGGAGCTGCTTCGCTTCTTGTGCGTGGCACGGGGAGTGGAGATTACAGATGCCGACATCGACTTCTTGCTCAAAGAGTGGGACGAGGACAAGACGGAGACCATCAGCCAAGCAGCCGCTCTGCTTTTTTGTTTTCCGGTGGGGTAATTAGTCTTGAGGTGGGTCAGAAATGCGGCGGACATGCTGAGACTAGACTGCTTCCACCAATTTGTGCCTGTCAACACTGCGGCTGCCATGTCACATGCTGTGTGCCAGGTCAGATTGTTGCCAATGAGCAGGGCAAAACGCTAGTTCGTCAGGGTGTTGGAAGAGTCAATGGGAGCGGATGAAGAACCCCTGCTTTTAGGGTGTTTCCTCCATTTCTCTTTTGGAACCGAACCTCCAAGAGCGGGTGGAAACAAGCAGTAAATTGATCAACACTTTACGGGGAAATCCGGTGAACCCTGGTGGCTTTATCGGGCTTTTATAAACACTCCGCCAGGTTGATGCACCGTGACCGAGCATTTGCCCTTTTCGTGCTGATGGACGAAATCCATTTTTCACCACGGACGAAATCCATTTTTCACCACTCTCGAACCACGGGAAACCATTGTCAGTTAGAATTTACAGGGGAGTCGTCATTCCAGGGTGTCTTAGGCAGGATTTTGTCTATCCTCAGTACTTCGACAAGCAGTAATTCAAAGCCCGAAGTTTGCCGAAGGAACCCTAAGAAACAGGAATCCACAATGAATTTTACGGAGCCCAAAGGAAGCTTACGGAACTCCACCCAACGAGTGCTGACCCAAGCTTTCAGCGACCTGAGGGCTTCCTTGCTCCCGAACGACCCGAGAGACCCGGCTGCGCGCGACCCGGCTGCGCCCGACCGCGAGCCAAGGAGTTCTTGGCCGGGTTGGAGAAGTGGCAGGCGAAGCTGTGAGCCGGGGCTTCAATGGGAACCGTGTGTGTTTCACCCCGCTCTGTTTCGCGCTCCGCTCTGCTCCGCTCGACCTCACTCCGCTCCACCGCACTCAACTCAACTGCACCCCAGTCAGCTGCAGGGCAATACACGTGATTGCGAGGCCTTGCAAATGGGGCAGGGCCCTAAACCCCAAGCGCCAAGCCTTGAGCCAGCCCGAAGTTCTAAGCCGCAAGCCGGTGGTCGTGATTCATTTTTGTGGAGGTGGTGGGTTTTGTTCAGTGCTTGTTTTTCAAGAGGACAACCATCATGTGCGGGGGTCCCCGAAGAAAAGCTCGTTGTTTGTATTGGAAGACACCAGGAACCGAACCGCTCGAAGACCGAGCGGGCGGTGGCCTGGTGAATGTCGCCGACCAGTCTCGGCAAGTTGGGGTGGGGGGGGTTGACTTCGGGCGCTCAGCAGGGAACGAGGGAGTGACCCCTATAAACCATCCAACTGGTGGTTTCCTTTAAGGGGACCCCTGGGTTCATTCAGTCATTCCCTCCTTGTGTGTTCGGCCAAGCTACCTTGGTCAAAACCCGCAAATGACTGGGTTAACCCCACTACAAGTGGGTTATCACCTAGGTCATCACCAACTTATGAACTTGGCCAAAACACCCAAGAGCCAGCGGTCCCGCATTCCTTTTTGTTCAAAGGCTTGGCCCCGAATGACCAGGAGGTCACCCGTTGGAAAGGACCTTTTGGTCCTTCCCAACATGTTGCCCCGTGGAAAAGGGTTTCTGGATGGGGTACTCGAGACTGGATTTTGGGCGTAAGCCCCAAACTGGGGTCTCCAAGACGATCTAATTTAGGATCTAAATGGGTCTGTTTTTGGAGGGTACCCTCTTTTGGTGTGGTTTCAAAGGGAAGCAAAAAGGAACATCACCATCAGACCAGTGTTGTTTTTTTGGGGGGTCCTTTAAGAAAGGCGCACCCAAATCTCAAAGAGAATCAGACGATAATTTTTCTGTGTGCCCCAGATGTGGTCCATCAGCTCTCCTGAATTGGTGGTTTGGATTTGTGATTTGGGGATTGGAGCCCGTTTTTGTAGAGTGAAAATGGGGAAATGACGGGAAATCACCCCGGCACGCCACCAAACCACCGGCTCAAAGCAACCTTTTCGAGGGAAGCTGAGGCCATGCGGAGGGCAACAGCTACAGTTAGACTATAGGCCTTGTTCATCCACATATTGCCATCCAGTCATAGGATCCCCCCTACACTTTTTGGCACAATTCAACTACACCAAAACAACCCTATGTTCACCCAACGGTCACTCCCCGGAAAAGTTGTTAACCACTAGAAAAGGGAGAATTCTAACTGTTACCCCCCCCCACCCCCGCCCCATTGACTCCTGGCTCGAGCGATTCCTGGCTTCGCCCCATGTTCAACCATCGCTTGGAAAAGCGACCGCTTCTGCCATGGGCGGGGAGTCTTGAACACCTCCTGTGAGCAGACCCTTCGTGCGACATTCACAAATCAGCGGTTGTCAGGCAACCACTGGAAACTTGGACAAGTCGCAAAACTCTCATTTGGGCCCTACAATTCCCATGATTTGTCGGCTTGATATCCTGGCAAGCGGAATATTTCTGGAGGCTGATTTGGAGAGACATACCCAGAGACAGCCACAGTTGTTCGATGATCAACCCTTCTTTTCTCTTTTGTTTGGGTAGGTGTTTCGCTGAAGAATGGTCGTCAAAAGCACTCGCGGCGCGCACTGGTTGTAGGTGGCGAACGGCACAAGACATAGATCCCCATGCGAGCATCATCTCCTTACATCCTCTAAATGTATATTTTCCTGCGAGTTTCTCAAAGGTGGAAACATTTGTTTGGTTGGTGTTTAAAACGATATGTTGATCTTATTTGTTTTGTTCACTCAATATAAAAGGGAAAGAATCTAGGGTAAGTAGTCAAGCCAAGTTGTTGCTCTTGTTCCAGAACATAGGGGGGAGGGGGACTGGTTGGGGGCACTGGGACAAGTCTCATTATGGCGTCCTTTCCACGGCAGGTTGAGGGAAAACACAAAACACAGTAGTCACATACTCCACTGATTGGGAGCTCACTTTGCCGTACTTCTATCTCGAACTCACCAAGGCTCGGCCGGTAGATTTGGGTTTGTCAAATAGATCTCCAGCAAGGTGGGTTCCCTTTTGGTCTCCTTTTTGGGACCCAAGCAAAGGGGGCGTCCCCAAAAAGACGCCCCGATGTTTCTTGGAGAGGCACGCTTTGTCCGATTGCCAGCTGGACAGCTCCGAGTTTTGTTTGCAACCCTGGAACCCAGAGGCTCGCTTTAAAAGAAAAGTAGTGCAAACTACCAAAACGTCAAGTTTCTCATGACAACGTGGATGGGAGGGTCATGTTTGGTAGGTCAAACCTCTCGTTTGCGATCCGTCCCGAGCAAGCGCCGGATCCACACTCCTGAAAGTGTTTCAACCCCGATGTCAGCTCCCTTCCGATACGCGTTGGCTTGCCTTTTTTTAAATCTGGTCTGTCTCAGGCTGACCCCCCGCAATGCGGCCCCGGCTGTCCTGGCGATCTTGCAAAGCAAAGGGACCCATACTCCGCAAAACCGCCCGAGGGGCCCGGGTTGGGGTTGGGGTTGCGTTCGAGGGGACTCGTAGCGGGGGAGTCCCAAACGAGCCGAAAAGTCCGGAGGCAAATGTACCGGGCCGGGCCCGAAACTGGAGATCGACCTGGGCAACTTCACCGCCCGGGCCCTTGAAGCAGACCCCGTCCGCTCCGGTGGCTGTAGCATTGGCGTGTTTCATGGAGTCCGGGGTAGCGGGCGGTCCTTGGTGCAAGGGGGGTAGTTGAGAGCCCTAGGGTTCCTTAGAGTTCAGCTCCATGTTTGTCATTTTCTGGGGGCTAGTTCCCATTTTCAAGTCACAACTTCTGGCAGCTTCAACCCGGAAACGCATAGCACCACCATGATAAGCCTGGAGATCTATGTTCATTTTGTCGCTGCAATTTGCACAGGTGGTTCGAGGCAGAGTTTGAACCTTCACAAGCATGACCGTTCAGCCGCCGCGGCCATGATGGGAGAGTATGCGGACACACACCCGGCCCATCCTCATTGCTTTTTGCACTTTGGCCCCCCATGCGTTCTATCGGGGACCCTTCGAAACGGGTCGGCGCGATGAAATCCAAGTGTTTGTGTTTGTGTGTGTGATCCAGAGACCCTTGGTCTCAAAGCCTTGCCACATAGTTTGAGACGTTCAGCATTCTTGCCTCTTTGGAATTCCACAGTTGCACCCCTACTGTCAACCTCGGATGAATCAGGAGGATCAAACTAGTTCCCCAACATGAAGATGTATTTTCCACTTGAAGGGGAACCACAGCTGATTATCATGACCGATGACCTGCGGAGTTCGTTGCGGACCACGTCGATTCGTCGGTTGCCATGCCATGACATTCGAATCGCCGCAGGTTGTGCTGGATCCCTCGGACTATGCTCGCCTGGAGTTCATCGAAGAAGAAGGCATGGTGTGGTTTCCTGACTTCCCCAGAATTGGCTCCCCTTTTTGCTTTTTTGCTTTTTTGGGTTCCCTTTGTTTTCCAGTAACCAGGCAAACAAAATATATATTTTTTGCCGGGGTCCTAGTTGCAGCCTAGCTGAATGGTTCTTGGGTTCACTTGCCCAGGGCGAATCGACCTGTTGACCTTTTGACTGTCCTGAGTTGGCCTAGTTTCTGTCAAGGCAACCCAAAAGGCGATCACCGTCTCTTCCTGAGTCCCCCAAAGAACTCACCATTTAGAGGGGGACAAATATGTGGATGTCGTGGCTGAAAAGACGGGCCCAGTTCTTTCAAGACCAGGTTCAAAAACTGTACGGGCCCCGTTTTCCTCGGTCCAGAACCCGAACTCCAAGCCAACGGGGAAACAAATCCGGGGGACCCTGGAAGAAACCAGATCCAGGCAAGCCCAAAACACGGCAGGTCACCGGATCACATGCACTCGGACTTTTACCTGACTCGCCTATCAGGGTAACCTTGCGTTTCAAGCCCCGGAGTTTCAAACCCCGTCCCACACCTCAAAAGCACCGGGCTCATGGCTCAACACCCATCGCCAGGCGAGGAGCGCGAGGAGCGCCAGGAGCGCCAGGAGCGGCAATCAGTTGCCTCCCTGAGCGATGCGCATGTGAAGCGGATCTTTGGGAAACCACGGAAAAATCACCGAAGCCTCTTTTTTTTTGGGGGGGGAGTCCTAACCTTACCTGGATCGCCAGGTGCGATCGCTGTTCGCTTCTTGTCCATCCATTTTACCCTCCAACAAAAATCAGCAGTGACTGAACCAAACACAACTTGGCGATCTAGGTAAAAAAGACAGCCAGGCCGTGTTTGGCTACTTTGCGGCTGTTTGGCAACCTGATCTTTGGACAATTGACTTGTTGCCTGAAGGATCGGATGGTCCGTATTGAACCCCCAAAGAGTGAACCATTGTTTGCAGGGTCAACCGCAAGCACCACACGGTCCCTTTTGCTTTGTCTGAGCGGTTTTCGCTGCGATTCCTTTCTCCTTTCGAACGTAGCCGGCTGCTGCACCGCAGACGTGAAAACTGTAGGTGCAGCCTCCAGATGTGCCCTGCCGGAACTTATTGCCTGACAAAAAGCAGATTTGGGGAGTAGTGTAGTTGATTGCAGACGGCACTTTTCATTATATGTGCGAATGCCAGCATGCTACGCTTTTTGAGATGGACATAAATCTAGGTTTCACGCGCCGGTCGTTGAGGAATGAATTTCGGGGCTGGGAGGATTGTCATATGGTCGGCTTGTGAAGTGTTGCTTGTACTTTATTGCGGGAACGGTCTCTAGTAGCTCATTGGGGGGTTTACTGAGTTTACCGGAAACTCAGTTGCCCCAAGCCGCCCACCTTTGCTTTTGCTTTCCGTCAAGGTCCCAGAATGTCCTTTCTGTGGTCTCTTTCAAAACCATGGTAGGTGTGTCTCAACATAGGGGGCCCCCTAAAACGGTGGGTGTCCTCTTCGATTCCCTGCAAAACAACCCCGAAGAGGTACCATCGAACAGAACAAACCACCTGTATGAAACAAAATTAGAGCACATGATCTTCTGCGTGTCCCAGATTTGGATGTGTCACGAGTGGGTTTCCGACGGCTAGGACCCACCGGATAGCCCGGCGAACGCGACAGGCCGGCCGGAGTTCATTCGATCGACTGGGTGTAGCTAGTCGGGGACCCCCGGAAAAAGGTTGCGGGGTCTGTTTGGTGTCACTACAAGCCAACCCCACCGGATCTGAGTGAATCCCAGCTTCGGTCAAGCGAAAGGAAATTCCCTTTCTTGTGACGAAGCATGCGGCCTGCCGGACACGAATCGCGGGTTGCGCGAGGTCTTTCAATTGGGTAAAACCTCATGGGGGAAACCTCCAAAGCGGCTGCTTTCCATTTGGTTTCCCTTCCAACCCCAAAACCCTCAAAAAGGACACTTTAAATGGCCGGGGGGGGGGGAGGGGGGGAGTTTTTAAAATTGCAGTTTTTGGCCGCAAAAGTCATTGCGCGGCCTGAGCTCCGGGGTTGACTCAGGTCCTTCATTTGGCTGCGGCTCAGAAAACAGGAATTCCAAAATGGGTTGCCCTGGTAAGTGAACATGGACCAAAACCTGCGGTTTGCCCCTCCTGCTTAATTTTGAGCCACAGCCATCTTAGTGGTTATTCTGAGAGCCCATGGATCCACAGTTGTGCCTGTAGCGCTACAGAGTTTCTCAAAGGCGGCCCCTGAAATTGCCTTTCTCTGTTGGCTTCCTTTTTTTAAACACCCCCGCCCCCCCCCCCAAGAAAAACTTGTTAGATTCCCAGAGTTCTTATCTGGCCTTGGAATGCGCAAATATTCAACCAGGGTGTTTGACAAATTTAAGCAGGGTGTCAGACAAGGCTGGGCGAATGTATGCCATCATCTGGAATACCCGTGCTTTGTTGTATTCCTCTTCCCAAGGGAGCGTCTCACACCCGAACACAGCATGCGACACATTCACAGGTCGCCCCGAAGGGCGTTGGCCAGCCGCATGGCCGCTGCTACAGCCCGTGGTTTGGTTTCGGCGGGATTGTGCAAGCCAGGCGTTGTCCTTCTCATGATTGTTGTTGGGAAACATTTTACACATGTTACATTTTTTATGCTTATTGTGGTTTAGTGGTTGAAATCCAGCCACTTAACTGCTAAAATTATTATTATTTGTTTGCTCCCCTTCCAACGTCAACCAAGTTCTGTCCGATTCTTTTCTCCGTGGGTTGCCACGTGCAGGAAATCCTTCCCAAGCCCTAGAGGCGAGACTCATGTGCCGTACGATGACGAGGTGACAGGGGAAGAAACAGCACCGCCCGAAGGGAATCGAGCTTTTCACCTTTTGGCTTAACTGGGGGCATGTTTAGGTTCTCAACAGGGCCCTTGCATTGCTGGATTGTTGGGTAACTGGGCAAGTGAGGCAACCATGATGGGTCGTACGGCTTGCCAACGCTTGGGAAACTCAACGCCCTTGCGGTTTTGTTGCTGTTTTTTGTGCTTTAACAAGTGCAGATCGGTTGTTTCCTTTTCACGTTGAGAGGAGCTAGAAGTCAACAGGTTGTACTTCACTGGGGAAATACGTGTGTGTGTGTATCTTCCGTGAACACATCTACTATGGTACTGCTTTTTCAAGGCTGGCGATGGTCTTTAAGGTTTAAGTTGTTTGTTCCCCTTTTCAAGAACCATTGGGTGGCTCGTCTTCTTTTGCGGGCAGTTTTTTTTTTTTGGGGGGGGGGGGGGGGGTGAGGGGAAACCAACAGAGACCATCTCCATTTTGGGGGGTTGATTCCTTGAAAAGACACATCCATTTGGGAAGGAGTAGACACATGGGAGCATGTGTTTACTTTGGTGCATTTTGCTTAAATATAAAAACTTGATTTGTGTTTGCCAACGAATTTGGGTTTTCCGTACTAAACCACTAGAAGTTAGTCACTTTTAGCAGGGCTTCGCAGAGTTCGCCACCGAGTTTCCTCATTCCCTCTGCTCTACTGGAGTGCGGGCGTCGGGACTTTTTTCGGCCCACCGACCCCGGGAGGCGACGACCAGAGCTGCGCGGGGGCCCTCGGGCGAAAGGTGGACCTCTTTCTGAATGGGTACATCCCAGAGGCTCCCAATGTATCGAAGGGGCCCTCAAACAGCCAGGTTTTGAGACCCCCAAACACCGATTCCCGGGGTGTCTAATGGAGGGGTCGGGTCTTCCATTGAAAGGTCCAGGAGCCTCTGGGATGTGGTTTTCTTGTTGATGGTCCGCTAGTCCCCCGAAGTTTCAACGAAGACCGAAAGGAAATCCAGCGGTGGCGTTTGGGTCCCGATATGTTGACACATACCCAAATGGGTACCATGTTCACGGCACGACGGCAACTCTTTGGCGGCGCACGACGGCAACGTTGATGGAGGGGGGGCGGGTACCCCCGCAATCTAAATGGAATGCACGGTCATTCGAGCTGTTTATGAGCTACAGTGGGCAAGTCTGGGAACTGTCATTGGCCAGGATTTTGCTTGCAAGAAAGCACAAGCGGATGGACTTGCTTTGCTTCATACCCATTTCCGGGTCCATTCAAATGAACATGTATGGGTTTCCAAATTGCGGGGTGGGCTTTCCTCCAAGCAAGACTGCTTTTCGGGGCAGGGGACGGGTATTGCACACGATCATGGAGAATGCGGGCAAGTCGGAGGGTGATTTTACACGGGGCTCTCTTATTTCGGGTCAAGTGGAGTCATAAAGATAGATTGCCATGCAGGAGACTACTCTCAACAACAGAATCCCTCCGCAAGTCCACTTCCATGGAGTATTGGCGGGAGACTGTTTGTCACGATTCTGCGCGGCCGTATCCAACGTACGCCAACAAAGTCGAGGGATTGAACTCGTTGATGGCCGCAACAAAGAGCGTCGCTCTTTCGGCACAGTTCCCAGCCGGTCGCAGTGCCGGGAACCTTACTAGGTCCCCCAGTAGTGCCCCCCTTTTTTGGGGAGGGTTCCCCCACTAAAATAGATACAGACAAAAAATCGAGAAACCTTGTTCTAACCTCTCCTCTTCACCATTCCCAGTGAGGAACCCACCAAAGGGGATGTAGCGGGGCCCGACCTCCCCTGAGCAGCTGGGATGACCCAAAAGGAGCCTGGCAGCCAACTCGTGCAACGGCAGATCCTCTTGAGGAGTCCCCCTTACTAACACCCTAAGAACCATTTTCCGCCCGACGATGAAGAAGCATTTCCATGCCTAAACACGAAGAACAACAGGGCTCCTTAAAAGATACGTTTTGCAACCATTTGAAACATGTTGCTTTTTCCACACCGAAATAAAGTTGGAAACCACCATTTACAAGTTGCACTGTTCAGGTGTTTTTCATGCATCCGGATCCCTGAACAAGCAGGCTTCGTTTCTGTAAGAACTTGGCAAGACAGCTGAACCACGGGTCCCACTGGATTTGAAGTCGCTATCCACGCAACCCTTGCGCCTATAAACATCCATTGGAACTGGTTGGTAGCTCATCAAACTCATTCCCACCTCTAATGGCGGGTTTGGACCATTAAAGATGGACTTTGGACCATCTTAGAATCTTAGGACATAAACATCGAAAGCCTATAGTTTTTATATACCCAGTGCCTATTTACATCGGTATGGGGTATTTTTTCAGCCTTAGCTTTCGGATCCTTGGGTTGCAAAGTTACTAGCGGGCTTCTTTGTTCTTGACCACTGGTTGACTTTGTTTTGTCCGGCCGCTTTTGTTGGTTATCTTTAGTTGAAGTGCCTGCCACGAACAACGCTTGTGCTAACATATGACGGGTTGGGAGGCAGGGATGAGCCTGCATTAGGATTCGTGATGTTCCGGCAAAAAACTATGCTGCCCGGCCTTTTTTTGGGAAAGGGTTCCCCTTTAAAGTCAACCAACCAACCACTGGGCATCTGACAAAAGGAGGTCATCAAGGCACCCGTAGCAAGCTGTCCGCGAATCAAGGTTTGGGAGGTGACAGTAAGCTGCATTTCTGTTGTCAAGCTCGTTTGAACATCAGCCAAGCGTCTTTGCCAAATTATGATTTACATAGTTTGGTAGTAGTCCACGCATATCAAAAACTGTGTTTGCAAACATATTAACATGTCAGTGCTTTAAGCCTGATCCCTGATATCAAGCCTTCATGATGTGTTGTTATTTTCGGTGGTTCTCCTTCTGGTTCCCTCTAAACCTGGAAAGGGTTCCGAGCCTCAAAAACGCACGCGCAGGCTGATGAGTCAGGAAGGGTTCAATTGTCCTGAGTGGGGAGCACACAACAAATGCCTTCAAAATCGAACACCAGTGAAGCACTGGGGAAAATGGCAAGGGTTTCCTTTTGATCTCCCTTTCAGCACCAACAAAAAAGGGGCTCCGAGCCCCATTTTTTGAGAAGCTGCCATTTTGAGCAACTATGTTTCGTTTACTTGTTTTTTCCAACAAAAAAACGGGGGGGGGGGGAAATCAGAATGGCCTCTGTTATTCGCATGGGGCGGTTATTCTTCATTTTTTTTTCAGGTGCCTATGGTGATGCACATCGACCTGCCGCCCCCGTTGCACCCCCGGACCCTGATCCTGGGGGAGCCGGTGCTGCAGAGGTCCGAGCCTCGGAAGCCGGGGCCGAGCTTCGGTCCGAGCGGTCGCTCCGAGGGTGTATTTGTCTAGACTTCACGGTCCTTGGCATGTTTTTGAGTTTTATTAGTTTTTTGGTTTTGTTCATTTTTACTGGGGGTCTGCAGCAAGCATTTTTTTCCGCTACCATACCAAGAGTAGAGATGTAGAACCTCGGACCCTTACAATGGCCTTTGTGCACAAAAACACGGGGCGCGGAAAAGTGGAGAATTGCCGGTGCGCTGAAAATGGGTGTGCACAAAAACACATCCGGATCTTCCTATTTTTTGGCGGATGTGCACAAAAATGGGTGTGAACAAATAAACGCGTGGCGGGAAGAGACGTCAGCGCACAGGTTTGTTTTGATTGGGGGATTGGTTCGGCCGAGGTCCGACCTTCGAACTCACCTAGATATCTGCATGGAACCCGGGAACCAGACAGAAAACTCCTCTTGGAGCCTTCTGAAAAGGAAGCCCGGGTTTTGATTGATATGGCTGTGGGTCACAATTTTCAACAGCAGGTCTTAGTCTGCCTGTCCATTTACCAGGGGTCCATTCTGGACCCGATTTTTTAGCCACACCCATAGATAGACTTCAAGGGGATACTGTGCACTGAGTTCATTGAAGTGACATGTTCAAAATTGTTGTCGCAGTGGTAAGGGAAGTTGCCCCCAAACAGGTCATTCTGGGAACAGCCCCTCAAAATGCAACCGCTTGAAGGCAATCAACATTCCCTCCGGACGCAGCACGCCCAAAAGTAAGCTTGCCAACGGGTCCCTCCAAATGCAACCACTTGAAACATGTTGTGGAAGACAGCTGATACCAAAGTGCGCTTCCCATCCCCAGACTGGTTTATCACCTTAGAGGAGACAGAAAGTGGCAACTGCCAAACACAGCCCTCTGCCTTTCGAGGAATCCTCCTGGCATATGGAAAGGTCAACTTGAGGGCCCCCCACGATTGTGTACAAACAAATCAACTACTCCCTGCAAATTTGCCTAAACCCTTATTGAGAAGGCTCCAAGAGGAGTTTTCTGTGTGGTTCCTGGGTACCATGCAAGTTTTCTAATTTCAAAGTTGAACATCGGCCGAACCAAATGGCAATGGATCAAACATATGTACCAAAATAGCACCTTGGCAACTGGAACCAAAGGCTCAAATCTGCGTAGCCCTGGCCCTGGCTCTTTTAATTTTGAGCCACACCCATATCTCGGGCAGGGGTGGCGCTTGTTCGGTTTGGGTTGAGCTGCCAAACAAGGGGTGCGCTTGTTTCCCAAGGGAAGCTGGGATAAGTGGTTCGGTTTTAGAGTTGCTCCGAACAAAGCAAGAATGTTGGTCAAGGGCTGAAGAATCCTATCGGTTTAATGTTGACTTCGGATTGATCCGCAGGACACTACTAGTCAGAGGATCCCCCTCAAACAGACTGTTTTGTGGCTTTAAGGGGATCCTCTTCGATCAGTACAGTCCGCGGGATTTAATCCAAAGTGAACATTACTATGTCTAGGACTATAGTCATGAATTCATTAGGGGGTGGGAAGCCATCCCCTAAGCCCTACCAATCCAAAGCAACAACTAAGGAAGCTGACTTGTTGATTCCTTTTGTGTTCTTTCTGCTGGGGTATTGGTATGGGTCAAGATTAAACCCCGGGGTTTTGGACCGCAGGTCTTCGTCCACGTCTCCTCATCCCATGGGTCAGCCACTCGCTTCGGTCCTTCGGTCCCTTGGCCTCGTCTTGTGGATGCGCATCGCTGGGCGCAACTCTTTGAGCCAACGGAATGGATGCCAGCCAAGAAACAGACATACAAGCGCCCAACATGGATGCCAACCCACATTTAAAAATTAAAAAAAAATGTATATAATACATATATATATATGTATATATATATATGTATATAATATACATATATTAAAAATCAAAAAGCACACCCTTTCCTTCAGGTACTACACCGTCTTCGATGCAACGGCCAATCCAAATCCGCGCGTGGGCTTCGCGCCCGCGCTGCACGGGAAGGCATGAAGGCGCCCGATGTAAGTGGAATTCGCGGGTTCAGTGTGGTTGAAAGGGAAGCCAACAGGAGAATCACCATTTTGGAGTCCCCTAAAACAGAGAGACCCAGTGTCTGGATCAGAACATGTGTTTGGGAAGATCATTGGCAAGGTTCATGTCTCTTGGGGATGCAAATTGGGGGGTGCGTGTTTGAGGGAACCCCTTGGATGGTTCGGCAAAGGGAGCAATCGCTTGGATGATACGTGCCCACTCCAGCAGTTGCTTGGGATAGGGGCAAACAGTGCGGACGTTTCGGCTTCAATCTGCGACTGCCTGAGGCGGGACTTTGACACCACCACCTATCAGAAAGGGGAATGTGTCACCTGCGTCCGGGACCCTTCCATCTATGGCCAACTTACATGCCCCAAATGGACATACCACACCCAAAGGCCTTATGCTGGGATGGTTTTGAGTATATACCCTGTACAACCCATGTATAACCCATATATATATATATAACCCATGTATAACCCATGTATAACCCATATATATATATATATAACCCATGTATAACCCATGTATAACCCATATATAACCCATGTATAACCCATGTATAACCCATGTATAACCCATGTATTATAACCCATGTATAATCCACCCATGTATACCCCATGTATACCCCATGTATAACCCATGTATAACCCATGTATAATCCATGTATAGCCCATGTAAAACCACTCATTCTGAGGTGGTTCCATTTGGGTATGCAAGTTGTCAGCCTCCATTGCTACCCACCCGCTTCAATTGAGCAAAGACCCCGCAGGCGCCGAACGGCGAGACGCTCCTCGCAACGCATGACTCGGCTGACTTGGCATGACCTACCGCTTGCCACTTCGGCCATCTCGAAGCGTGTGTGTTCCCGACAGCCGTCCCTGTCTGCATCCTCAAAATAGCATTTGTTTCTTTGTTTTTGCGTGGATGTACATATTGCCATAGTTCAAAGCCAATGGTACCGTTTTGGGGTAGGTGCACCACCCATTTTAGTCTATTGGTACGATTTGGGTTTTGACCCACGGACATATCATTCTGAAGGAGGGAAGTCTGAGGTCCTTCGGGATACTCGCTTGAGGCATGAATCGTTCGCCGGAGGGGATTTGCCAGCAATGTTCCCCGCAAGGTGTATCCTAGCATGCCTCTAAAGCATAGCCACATCTATGTATACATATAAATATATTCACGTATTTGTATACTTGAGGGCGGTTTCAAGCCACAAGAGGCAATCCCAACAACAAATGGGTGCGGCCGGCCTTGAACATTCTGTACTTAGTCTTGGGCAGATGGGTTTAATTTACCATATTTTTCAACTTGGAAGAACATGTTTGTTGAAAGCAAGGTCGTACTTTTAATTCCAACTCAGGATGTGAGGAGCTCTCCTGAAAATAAGACGCACTCACAAGGGGGTCCTGCACTTGGACCAGTCATATAAGGGCGGCTAAACAATCACACACATTCTTCCCTGCTCATGGCCAAATGTGGTGTTAACTTCCATCACAACCCCATTCTTTTGCCAAGAGACCTGCGGCTGAGGGAACGCCCGCGCAGTGCACAAAGAAACGGGCTGCGGCAGCCAGAACCACGGCCAGTTTCCCGTCAGAATTCGCGGTACGCGAATGGAGCAATGGAATCACGACCTGGTACTAGGTCTCCTCCAAAACTGTGTTTTATTGTAGGGTAGACTAAATATGAAACATGATTAGAAGATCAGGTTCTCGGTGTACCCCAGATGCGGGTCAAGACCTGGCAGGACGTTTTTGCATTTTGCCTCTGTTGTCTCTCCATTCCCTCATGTGCACACGTTGCAGCCTGTTGCCCTCTGCGTTTCTGACATGACTCCCCCCTTTCGTTTTGCCCAGAAAAAATCGCAGGGCAGCGCTTTAAATCTGGTCGATTCTAGTCGGTGAGAGATTGCAATTGCACGTTCCGATTTATTGGCGATTGATGCACTTGGCTTGTGCCTGGTTGTAGCATGTTGTAGTGGGTCTGTGCTTTCTTTGGGGTGCCGTTTTTTGGGGTGCTGTTTAAAGCGAAACCCAAAAGGACGGCCACCTTTGTGCTTTGCGGGGGGAGGGGTCTCCTACTTATACCCTAGTCACGTTGCCGGAGTTGTCCACAATAGGGGGAAATGAGACCTCGAAAGCTGGTTGCTGTTCTTTACTTGTTGGCAACAATCTTGTGAGGAGGTCAATGGGTAATGAATCAACCGATTGACCAGAGGATTGAAAGATCGATGGATTTAAAAATAGATCATCTCCTTGCTAATAGGGAACCACCCCTGATTAGTACAGTCCTCGGGATTAATCCGAGGTGCTCGGGCAATCTTGCAGAGCATGCTTTCCATGGCTCGCTCGTTTGCTTGATGTGAGAAATACAGATGGCAGATTGGCGGAGAGTAAAAGAGAGGTCTGTGCCGCTGTTGATGGATTCGTTGACCGATGCGGTGCGCCCTTTTCCTCTACTTTGTACAGCTTATAGGCACAGGGGGTGTCGCTGAAGGTAAAGAACTTGGTGCTGAAAGATGCTTTCTGTTGTGACAGGACCAAGTTGGCTGATAGAAGACTTGGAGCAGGTCGCAGGATTGTTGAGAGCAAAGTAAAGGCGACAGTCATTCACTCAGTTCTGCTTTTCTGGATGCAGTTCAAGGGCATGGACTTTGATGTAACGGTCCAAAGCATACATGACTCACGACCCTTCGAAGCACGCGGTTTGCCTTTGTGTGACAAACTAAAAAGGTTCCATTTTCAACTTTACTACATTCTTGCCTGTTCTTAGTAGGGCATGTGGGAATAGCTTGGGCAAGCCATTCCCCACAAGGATTCATGCTTCTTTTCCCATGCTCAAGACGGAGAGGAAGCAGTGTCTTCTTTAGCGCTTTTTCTACAACAACTGCAGTTATTGCCTCTCCTACAAATCCCAATAGGGGCGTTATTAGTGACTAAGGGCTCTTAGGGCCTAATAGGTGAGTGTCTTTGTTGGGGGATCTCGGGATCTGAGGGAGGGTCTTGACAATGATTGCATGGTGCAGTTGACAGGCAGGACTCGTGCCATCCCTTTAATATGCGTCACGCTTTGCGCGATGATGCTGCTGGAAAGGCTGAAGTTTGCGCTCAATGTCCAGTTGCATGTGATTTCTCTGATGGTTCTCAAATTGGAACCATCTCGACAATGCGTTGATCGTGGAGCTCGGTCATCGCGCAATCATAGCGAGTGACCCTAAAGCTATTCCTTTAGAAAGGGTGTTGTGCAATCACCTGCATAGCTAGCAGAAATGGAGTGACTGGATGTTTGCAAGTTGAACGAGACAGTTTTGGTGGTTTGTTGTCAACCTCCAACACAGCGGATTCGCTGACACGGGAGATCCAATGATGGACCTGGGTCACTGAGTGTTGTCGCCTTGTTTTCTTGTGCAAGAGTTGACCATATAGCCTAGTCCGAGTGCCCGGGGAGGGGTGCGAGTTGGGTAACGTCCTTTGCATTTCGCCATGGCATGGACCACAAGACCTTGGACCAGCGCTGGCCACGGCAGGCGGGAGGAAGCGAAGCTGTGGCAGATGTGGGGCGATGGGATTGGCAGGAGGGGGGATGTGTCGTCACGATGATGAGGATGACGGTGATGATCATAGGACAGTGCCGGGAACAGTCCAAACCGTAGCTGTGAATCTCCGTGGTGGTTCTTTACCATGCTGTTTTGGGAGACCCGTTTTGCCCGCCAGGTTTTGACGCTCTTTGTGCCCGGAACCCTCATTGATTCTATCCAGTAATCTACAGGCCATTTGGGAGGGACATGGGAGACTCACTCAATGTCCCAGTTGCATTACCCCAGTTGTTCGAGGCACCCCTGTGGTGCCCACTGGAAATTGTCAAGTTTCTACAAGGGTCACCAAATGGACATTTGGGTTACAGTCCCCATGTCCGTTGATTTGACCTCCAGCTGCATGGGGAGAAACGGGATGTTAGGCACTTGTATCATGCCAAACCCAGCTTAGAGCGACAAAGTACATGGAGAAGCATGAGAAGACACCACTTTGGTATCACAGATTTCGGGTGAATCTCCAGAATGCCATGGATGTATTCTCCTGGCGAGGAGCTAGTGATGTCCACTTGATCCAGTTCCGCCGGTTTGGATACGATCAGAGCCAATCCAAGCCACCAGGGGTTGCTTCAGCGTTGCCTCTCGAGTTGGTGCCAGCCAAGAAGGCAGCTTCAGGGTTTCTCAGTTCGACAGGGGGCTGGACCGGACCCGTTGCTTGGGGCAAAGATTAAAAGGCTGGAGGGGGGACACGGCTAGACGACCGGACTCACCTCTACCTGGTGGACCCCTTTTTTGGCTAAAGGGAAACCAGCGGAAGCCACTGGGATCTCTGTCCCCTTAACAATAGTGTGGGGGGGAGACTAGACAAGTGGAAGTAGGTCCCGGACCCCCACCCCCCCTTTCCCGGGTAGTCAGGATGTTTTTCTTTGAGGGTAACCCTTTGTTTTTTTCTCTTGGTTTTGAAGAGCAACCAAAAAGAGAGCCAAGATCCATTTTGGGGTCTTCCTTTTTGAGGCACCCCCCTGTTCTGATTCAGAGATACTGTGGATCACCGTTCAGAAACCCTGGAATGATTCGATTCCCCTGCAAATAACAACAGACTATGGTTTCAGCCATGGTTTCTTAGGTGGTGCGAACTAGATTTGACTGAATTAGTTTAACAGGGAACAACCTCAAAAGTGGTTGGTGGACATGAATCCCCAGCGAATTCTGATGTCCACCAATTGGTTTCCAATCATTAAAGTTCATTCCCATTTGGTCCATCCAAAAATCCCAGTTGCCCAGTGGATTCCGTCAAATTCTTTCCTTTTGCTTGAGAGAGGTTCCCCTTTGAAAACTCAACCAGCAAAATTGGCTGCCCTTTTTGGCCCCTGGAACTCCACTGCAAGATTGGCTGCCCCATTCGGGTATGGGTCAAAACTCAACCACTAGCGGACCGCAGGTTTTAGTCCTTGGTTCCATTTACCAAGGCCCCATTTCGTATTCCCCTTTTTTGACCCACAGCCCATCTTTTCCCATGGACATCCTCGGGGCATCTCAGACATTGGTCCCGTTTTTCCAGGTCGCTCCGGACCTGGAGACAGAAGCCGCCCGGCTGCTGCGCTGGGCCTCCGAGGATGCATGGGGCCGCCGGCCAGGCGATCGATCCCGCGATCCGCGATCCGCGATCCGCAATCCGCGATCCGCGATCCGCGATCCGCGATCCGCGATCCGCGATCCGCGATCCGCGATCCGCGATCCGCGATCCGCGATCGCCTCGGGCTGCGGAGGGGACCCCATGGTTGAGCGAAGGTTAGTAAGGGACAATCCCAATCATAATCTTGAAGCTGGTTCTGGGTCGACCATTTTAATACCGGGTTTTGATCATGACTCAGTTGCCCAGCGGATTCCGCCCAATTTTGTCAACCTTTTTTTGGGAAGGGTTCCGATTCCTTGAAACTCAAACAAAAAAGGATGCCCTTTTTTCCCGTGGAAATCCACTGGGCATCTGAGGTTCTTGCTGGTTGACTTGCCCGCTATTTGGCTGGATCTTTAGACTTTAACAACTTGTTGGGAAACATGTGTATTTTAACACTACCCTATAAAAAGCCATTGTTTTGGGGCAAGGGGGAACCGACCCATCAAGTTGAGTTCTTTAGTCAAGGACTGCCCTATGAATTAACATGGGTTGCTCCCGCAAAGGGGGTTCGATCCAAAAAGGAGTTTCCTCTCAATCTGCCGAGGTTTCCTTGGGTTGCATCTCCTCTCAATCTGCCGGGCTTCCTTTTCAGCTTAAGCATAAATATGTATACATACGCATGTTGTTTGAGGGTACCCTTTTTTAGCCTTCAGCTTGGGCTCAATCTGCCTTGCCTCTTTGTAGTGGCTGAAAGAAGTGCCCGCATCGGTTTTGTTTTTTAGTTATACATGGTGTGTGTGTGTGTGTGTGTGTCTGTTTTTTGAAGAGGTTGATTTGAAACCGAGGAGGGGCTCCCCTCTACTAGGGTGGGAACGGCACATTTTGTTCTTTGTGAGTAAGCAAAGGGGATGACGCAGCCAAAACGTTGGAACTGTTTGCCCCCAACTGCCCTGTAATTCTGGAGCCCAAATTGCAAGGACTCAGTCCCTGAGGTCTTGGACCTCTGGAAGATCTTGTCACGTTCGGACGTTGAGATCAATTCAGGTAGTGAGGCTATCCAACCAAGAGCTGGTGCAAGCAGGGTTTGTCTTTGACCCACCTCGCTTGGGAGGATCACACCCCTATGGGTTCGGGGTTGGTGAGTTGAGGCATGTGATGAAACATGGCGAAGCATTTGGTGAAGCAGCTGTGGATTGAGAGTGGGTTCGAAGAATGTTTGCACAGCTGGCTTTCGCACTTCTCGCAGGTCAGTATTCCGATGTAATCAGGGCTGTGGGAGATGACCACTTCTGTGATACAACAAAAAGGGCTTCCCAAAGACTAACCCCCCAAAATAAACGGGGAGATTCCCAAAAGTATCACAGAAGTGGTTGGATAAACCCCGAGAAATCCCACAACCCTGCATGTAATTGTTTGTGAAAGGGCTCAAAGGCTTAAAGGGTTCAAAGGGCGAAGTTGGAAATGCCATTTGTTGATAGATGACACCTTGGCTCATGGCTTGTCAGTGCATCAAACATGTCAATTTGACTAGATTCTCGCCAATCAACCTATTGCTTTTGCAGGTGGGACACCTGCAGCTTGGTCCAAAACCATAGGCTCGTTTCACGTAAACCTGGCTTCAGACTACGGCTCGGACCTGAGGTGATGCGGTTTTACGGGACCGATCCACTGAAGACCCGTTTGCCAGGGTGAAGCTGGACACCCGAGTGACCCTGAAACCCCAGTGCCGTTCTGGCCTTGTTGGGGAATCCGCATGTTCCCTGGTCTCGTTGTCGCATGCTTCCTTCATCAGGCCTCATGTTGCACAGCCCGTTTTGACCAACCGCACCTCCGGGAGTTCCAGCTCATGGCGAAAAAGAGGTACCGCGGGGGAGCAACATATTCAGCAGAATTGCCAAGTGGACTGCTTGGACAGAAACCCTATGGGCCCTTTCAGCTTGCAAGCGAGCCACGGTCGAATTCCACCAATGGGTATGGGTCAAAATTAACCCATCAGGAAGTGCACCGCAGGTTAGATCCATTCTTTTCAGCCATCGTTCTTTTCAACAACCAGTGGTTTCCCAGAAAGAAGGATCCCTGGAAAGAATGGAAATGGAAGTTACCCCTAGAAGCATATGACGCAGAATCAGACCAGTTGTTTCGGCGTACGGGCCAAAAAAGAAAACCCCCAGAATTACCCCTAGAATTAACCCTCGAAATTTTGGGGGTTGCCCTATTTGTGCCCACCAAACTCCGGCCCCACACGCCTCCACCACACCCGGCCGCCCACGCTGCCGGCGCGTCCGCGAGTTCCGCGCGTCGCAGGCCAGCGGCCGGAACCGGAGCCGGACGAGAGCTACTCCGCCGCGGTGGGGTCCAGCTACCTCGGGGGCGCGGCACCTTGGCGGAGCTCCGGAGGGCAACTCCATGGGCTCGTGGCTTTGGTTTGGAGGGCAGTGACATGGCATGGTTGTTGGGAAACATGTTTTGGCATTTTTTCCGCTTATTGTGGTTTAGTGGTTGAAATCCCTTCAATCGTCAACCAAGATGGGTTCGTGGCTTTGGTTTGGAGGCTCCTAAAAACGAGGGCAGTGCCCAGAATCTGGGTTTCGTTGTTGGATGGTACCCCCCCTGTTTTGGACCATTATCTTGAGTGATTGAAGGGATGAAACAACTGGCTTTACTTGGACCAGAGGCACAACCCCAACGTCCTTGTGGGTATGTGATTGGTTGCTTCCAAAGGGAAACCAAAAGGAAGACCGCCATTGATTAGGGTGATTCCACAAAAAAAACACGCTTCCATGTTTTCCAACTTGGTAAATTATGACTTCGGATTTATCTCAAGTACCGCAATCAGGTGGCCATTTCCTTGTAGCAAGGACATAGTATCTACCTGTGGGGGGTTTCCGAGGGTCAAGCGAAGCACCAAAAAACAGCGTGCCAAAACATTTTTTGTCCATGGAATTCCCCTGAACATCTGGGGGCAAAATGGATTTATCTCTCCCCCCCCCAGACTTGGAAACAGAGAGGAAACAATTGTTTGGGTCCAAGTGCATTGGGCCAGCAATGCCTGAACAGAGTATCGAGTTTTGCTCCGCGCAGATTAAGATGGGTCACAAAACGTGGGCCAAAAAGGAGATTCCTCCAACAATAATCATGTTTGTTTTTCAGCGTTCCAGATGAAGTGTTGTTCAATAAACATGACACATGTTGTGTAATTTTAAGCTTGACTTCAAAGCTCATCAGTAAATTGCAATCCAATGACCCCCGAAAAGCAACACCTGTCCATTCTGGTGCAAACCATCAATTCTGTAATTTGATTCTTAAACATACGATACCAAAAGTACTTTTTCAAGAACCGGGTCGTGGATTGCTTTGGGGGGGTTGAACCTTTCATGGGGGCTGGGGGGGAGGGAGGGAGGGGATAGAGCCCACATCAGCCTGAATACCTTGGTGGGGGCAAGGGCTCCCTCCCCCCTCCCCCCCCCCCCAGCCCCTTCCTCCCCCCCTCCCCCCCTCCCTCCCCCTTCCCCTCCCTCTCCCTCCCCTGCCCGCGGATGCGTGGCTCATTAAATACGACACCGGCCCGCGGATGCCGCCCCAAGGACTCTGACCCTTGGCAGCGCCTACTGCGCGGAGAGGGCGCCTTTTGCGAGGCGGTCGGGGGTGTTTTCGGGGAACACCGGGTCGTCTCCTCCCAAGAACCCCAGTGGATTGACAACAAAAAAATGGAAGCGACTCTGAAGATGAAACTGTGTACCCCTTTGTGAGCCAAAACTAGGGTCTCCTCCAAAAACCAACTAGTGTTCAGCGGTATTGAGGGTGTAAAAATGAAGCATAAGCTGAGCCTAGGTTGTTTTTCTATGTACCACTTTGTGGCGGGCCAGGACAACCCCACATTTCTAGTGATGAACATTTGAGCGCCTGTGGAGGTCCCGGTGGCGCTCTTGGAGCGGCTTCGGCGCCAGGGTGAGGCTGGGTCGAGGGTGAGGCGTGTTTCTTGTCTTGGTTGGATTGGGTTGCGACCTGGGCTTCACCATAACGACCAACAACCAGTATAAGGTTCGCACTTTGGTGTCTTTGTTCAGGTTCCTTTTTTTTGGTGGACATCTTCATCGCCCTCCCCCCCCCAACAAAAAAGAAGAAGAAGAAGAAGAAAGCAACAACACACGTGTTGCATGAAGCACTGCCAAGGTTGACAGACAGAGAGATATGGAAAACAACATCACCCGTATGTGTTTCCCTTTTTTGGCGCTTGCTGGCCGGTTTGTATTTCACCACCCGGAGCATCATTGAACCTACATTAAAGAAATTAGCACATCCATTGAAGTTTGAGGCCCATTTTCAGGTGCCGAGATTCTGACTGGGATCAGTTTGATGGTTTTTCATCACACGAACCTTGAGCCAGAATCAAACATATGAATTTTGATTTATAGGGCAAAATCTGAGACATAGAGGTGGCAAAGGCTCCCAGTTCTTCTAAAGAGTTCGACTTCCCTTGTTCGCTTCGGGCCGCAGGGGTTCCTTTGTGGCCGGCTTGCTTTAAGATGCCGCAAGAGTGGCAACTCCAATTTGCTTCGGGCGGATTTTGGCTTCTGTTTTTCTGTTTCCCCCGTTTTGTTTTTTCTGTTTCCCCTTTTTTTCCCCGTGCGTTTTGTTCCCGTTGTTGTTTTTTGTTGTTGTCTTTTATTTGTTTTTTATTCCCCGGTTTTCCCCCTCCGTTTTTTTTGTTCCTTCTTTTTCTGTAGGATGGTGGGTGGTTGGCCGGCTGGCCAGGCGCAGCTCGCGGAGATCGCGGAGCTGCGGGGCCAGCTGGCGCAGCTGCCGCAGGTGGAGGCTATCGGCGGGCGGGCGGGTTGCGGGTGGCATGCAGGTACTCGGAGGTTCGATGCGTGCAGGGAACGAGGGAATGACCCCAAGAAGCCGTACTTCTGGTGGTTTCCTTTAAGGGGACCCCTGGGGTCAGTCATTCATTTTTACTTGGATGTTCGATTCGCCAACTTAGTTGGTTAGCCGCCTTGGTCATAACCCACTAATGTTGGTGGCTCCCAGCCACCCGGTTCCTTAGCCTTTTAGATCTTTTTAGGGTTCAAAAAGTGGTAGTTTCCATGTAACGCACTAACAGTTAAGCTTTTAGCAGGGGATCTGAGGGCAGTCCAGGAATGACTGGCTCAACCCCACTGTAAGTGGGTTATAACCCAGGTTACCACCGGCTTACTATCTTGGCGAATCGAACACCCAAGTACGAAAGCCGGCAAGTGAGGTGGTGCATGGGATGGGAGCGGCTCCAAACTTTGGAGATCAGCAAGATGTTTTTTGTTGTTTAAGGCAGAATACTTAGATGTTTACTACCAAGTTAAGTGTGGCTAGCCAACCCACCAACGGGTTAATTCCACTGAACGGGGGACCTTTGAGTGGGTTGTAACCCAACGGTTACCGTTGCAGCAATCTTCTAACTTGGCGATTGGCGAAGCGAACACCGAAGTAACATGGCTTAGGCAAAATGCCAAACCGTGGATGGGAGGCACCATCATGTTGACCCCTGATTTATATACCCCCGGTCCTGAAAAAAGGAGTCCCCACTAAAAAAGGAGCCCCCTGATGAACAAGGTTTATGAATCCGGGGTCAACAGTACTGGCATTTGCAGGGAAACCTGTGAGAACCCCCGAGCCATGTTGGCGACCCCCCAAAGCGAATGGGAGGGTTTCAGTTTGGCGCCTCCCATCCACTTTGGCACTTCCGGGCATTCAGTTTCCGTCATGTCATATCTTAGGGCAACTTAAAAACAAAGCGGGGCGCCCACCATCGGTGTTTCATACCCACCGCAACCGCAAGGGGTTCAGGAGTGGTGCTTTGACAGCGTTCTCCTAGGGGATGACGTCTCTTTAACGTACTCAGCGTGAGGACGCGGACTATGTCCGCGCTGCTGTAGCCTTTGAGCAGATTATGATTGTCGCCACACCCACAGAGCTATTCTCAATTGTATCGGCGGCGCGTACTGGCCTACCGTCGGGCTTGGCAGAAATTTCTGACCAGTAAAAACTCCCAGAATCTGAACATATTATCTTTTGTGTACCCCAGATGGGCCAAGTGTGGGAGGGAGGGTTGGCAAAAGTACGATTCCATGGGACAGGGGGGGGACATGATTTTCATGTCCTGATGTTTTGGGCCGCTTTGTTGGTTCCGTTTAAAAAACAACCAGCACAAGGCTGGGTTGAAAAGCGTCCACGGCTGGACAGATTCCTTTAATTGGCGAGACTGATACCAAGGGAATCCTGTGTCTACTGACCAAGCAGTCCAAAGGCTGCCCAAATATTTTCCACAATTATAGGTTCCTTTCATGGTAGGTGGGATTGAATCTTGAATCCGTTACAAGTTGTGGGCAGACATAAATATTTGTGAAAATGATATCCAGCAAAGAATCCCCAATTAAAATAAACAAACCAAACTTGGTGTTCCAGGCACTCTCCCCGCCAACATCAAAGGCCGAAAGTGGGGGACACCCTGAAAGCAGTGAAGGGTTCGCTATAAAGTGGGACACCCCTATTCATTGCTCAGGTTTAGTCATCCTGGGAGATTAGTAAACCTATCCTATTTCTGGGGGGTGCTGAATCCAACTTCACTCAACCAGGGGCACCCCCTGTTTTATCAACCGAGAGGTCGGCTATCTCCGTCGACATTGCAAAGGCAACCTTTTCTTCTTTGGAATGTGAAGGGAAGCCAAAAAAAGGCAGCTGCGTTAATGAATTTTGGGGTGTCAAAATCCTAAAACAATAAGCTCAGGTGATATCCCCAACAGCATGCGGTGATCCTTTTAGTGCTCGCACCACCCCGCAGCCCTCACAGAACCTCGTGGAACCCTCGTAAAACCCTGGTGGAACCTTTGGGGTCTCAGCCCAGATAGGCTCCGTTTCGGACTATGGTCACTGTTTGGGTGTGTACCGTTTTAGTGGTCAACAAAGAAAGCTTGGCAACCTTCTAGGTCCCCCAGTAGTGCCCTTTTACCCTTTTTTTGGGGAGGGTTCCCCTACTAAAATAGACTACGGTACTCTTATTCTAACCTCTCTACTGGAGGAGCTAGCCTTTTTTTGGGGCCAATCCACTCGATCAGAGCGGTGAGCATTCCGAGCATTTCGTCAGGAGGAGATCGCTGCCATGGAAGCAGAGCTCGCTGAGCTGCAGAGCAACTGCGTGGTCAACGCCAACGAGCCACTCGGAAGAACCCGCCGTTCGCTTCGGGTCCGGTCGCCGATTTTAGTGTCGGAGGAAACCAAAACCGGGCGAAGGTTGTTTGGAGCAAAGGGAGTGAGTGTGGGTTGCTTCCAGTTTCCTGCTTTGGAGGGGGAACCTCTTTGAACATCAACTCTCTTTGTGAGTTCAACTGGACTTCAGTGACTTTTTGGGTTTGGACCGTCTTGGTGGCAACCAAAAAGTGTGAACAGTGTTTTGGCAGATCCACTCAGGAAATGAGTCAAGTACCATCCAAAACGGGCGCCCTCTTTTTCCCCCATGGCCGCCTGATGCCGATGCCGAACAACGAACCCACGAACTCTCCGAGATCACTTTGGCAGGGTGTTTCCGTTTTCCTTTTACGGGGCCTCCAACAGTGGCAGTTTTACTGGACTCCAGGGGAAATCCGGTGAATGGTTGGGGTTTGCTGTTTGCACACCCTTTCCAGCATCCACACCAAGGTTCAGGCCTTGGCTGTTGCCACGCGCAGCGTTCGGTAACCGCCCTGAGTGTTGTGTTTTTCGTTTTGGACCTCAATGCAGCCTGAGTGCGGCAAGAGAGGAAGCCGCCCCCGTCAAGTTTATCAGCATGTTCTTGTCACCAAGGCGTGCTATTTTGAGTGCCGCTTGGGTTAAGTCGCGTTTGTGACAGGACATGCCTGTTGGTCGTCTGATTCTATTCAGGAAGAACATGAGTGGCGTCCGGCTTTGAAGAGCCAAGTGCTTTGCAAACTGCAGAAACATGCAACAACCAATGTCCATACAACCAGCAGGCGATGTTCCCAAACTGGCAGCAACAAACAATGAACAAAAACATGTGAGCATTGAGGACCTGTTCCCCCTTGCTCGAACTGCCTAATTACCTCTCTGTTTTCCGGATTGCATGTTTTGGGCGGTGATCCCATCGTGCCCAAGCATCGAACAAGACGCTGTTGTTTTGCCAGTCCAGTTGATACTTTGGTGGTTTGCACCTAAAACGAGTTGGAGGAGGGGCGCCGGACAGAAGCCAATCGTGTCGTGCTTTGAGGAAGTGATTTAACCTAGGGCAACCCAAGAAAAGGAAACTAGCAGGAGATCAGAGACCCTGTCTTCTCCATTTCCCTTCTTAGAACCTCCAAAAGTGCCAGTTTCAGTGACACCAATCAATTGATCAACGTTTTGACTCGGGGAAATCCTTTGTGACCGTCAGAGTCTCACAGGTCTAGACCGACCCATGTTCAGCGTGCATCCGAGGATCGAGCTCCGGAATCTGGAGGCCGGAGATTGTTGTGGTTTTTTTTCGGGGATCGAGCCGTGGCAAGGCCGTGACTAGGTTCCCCAGCTAGGTGCCCAGGTATATATATATATATATATTGCACGTATATATACTTATAGATTGGGTTTTTCTAGGGTGTGATTCTCCATTCTTTTCATTCATCGTTCTTTTCAAGAGCCAGCCGTTTTCCCGATCGGGATTCCGGAGGTGTTCTAGAAAGAAGGATCCCTGGAAAGAATGGGGAAGGTACCCCTAGAAATTTAGGGCAAACCCACGGGGAGGGGGGGGGGGGGGGAAAGAGCGATCAGTGTGTCAGCCGTGATTTGGGTTTTTTTACCTGGGGTACCCTCAACTCAGGTTTTGGATTTGCTGCAGAAATAGCAGAATACAATTCAGGGCAAGAACGCGCATCTTTGCCAGGCTAGCATAAATTTTCTTCAGGTCCAAAAAAGGGGGAGCATGGGGAGATGTTTATGCTAAGAGATGGGGTTTCCCCGCGTTTTCCATCAGGCCATGGTCGAATTAGACCTTTGGGATTTCGGGGTTGTCCTCACCCCCCGCCCCGGGTCAGAGGTGGCATTTCAATGGAGATCTTCATGTCTCAAGTAGCCCACTTCCCGAGTTTCACGGAATTCCCGGCCGGGGGGATCAAGTTTCCAGCCTTTGGGTTTTGAGACGGAAGAGCCCTGTCGAAAAAGAATGTCACGGAGGTTTTTTTTGGCTGACCCAATTTAGATGATGACAATCCGAAGTTATATGAAGCCCCATTGTTTTAGTGGTGGCAACTGAATCCCACGGAATGTTTGTCCTCTTGGCTTTTCTTCATACCACCGAAGTCCAGCAAGCATGTACTGGGAACCTGCTGGCTGCTTCCACTTCTTCACCCGCCTCGAGTTCCAAGACGGCAGCAAGAAAGCGGGCACGCAGCGCTATCACGGCAGCGGCCGGCCCCATGTGCACGTCCTCTTCTGGCTGGAGACATCGACTGGGAGCAGACATTGCTCCCAACTTGCTGCTAAATTGGAGCCAAGCCCAGATAGATTTGGAGTTTCTACCACGCCCGAAAATGGACCACCTACCGGTTTAGAACACAGTTGCTTCTCTTGGTGCAAAACCGGGTTTGACCATATTGTCTGCTTGGTCCCAGAAGCGGATGTAGCCTTTTCGAGACCCCCCAAAATGGACATGTCGGTTTTTCCCATTGGTGGCCCTTTGAACGAGCCTGAAACAGCGCACCGAGCCTCAATAACCCACACACTCCAAAAATCTCAAGGAAATTCTTTTGGTTTCCTTTTAACAGCCGAGAGACAACGGGAAGCCTCCAAAAAACCGGACACGCCCAAAAAACGGAAGCCGGGGGACGCGGACGTTTCGGTATCTCTTCCGCAGGGGTGGGGGATGGGGTGCCAGCTTCTCAAACTCCAAAAGAGGACTTGTTCCGTTCACCAAATGGAGGGCATTTGGAACGGCATTCCCCTCTTGTAGGGACCCCTGTGAGAGTGAGAGTATTCACCTCTGGGAGGGTATTTGGAACGTCATTTTGATTTTTCCTCTTGTAGGGACTCCCTGTGTGAGAGTGAGATTATGTATGTATATAGACACCTAAGGGGCATTGCACTTAGTAAGTGTAGTTAGAACCCACTTACCATATGGTTATAAGTCTCTGCGTTATGACCAGACTAACCAACCACTTACTAAGTACCCTGCCCCTTTAAGGATCTATCATTGAAGTATGTATTTCGCGTTTTCATCTAGTATCTTTGTACAAATACTACGTATAGGATGTATGACATCACAGCGGCGCTCCGAATGAAGTTCCGCGGTTTCTCGCCGGTCTCATGGTGCGTGGTGCAGGCGGAGGCGCTGGTCGGCGAGGCTCAGCGCCTGGAGGTGGGGGTATGTGTTTTTTTTTTTAGTTCGGCTCACGAGGTCGACTCGGTCCAAAGGGCCCCAATTTAGGTGATAAAAGAAGCGGTTCTTACATCAATTCACCCATGGGCTTTTAACCCAACCCAAGTTAGATGACGCAACTTAGGTAAAGAAGGGGGGGCTGCTATCAAGCCAAACCAATGGTTTGAGTGAGGGTTTCTCAAAGCAGGAATTGGTCCGGTACAAGGGCAAGGGTGTCATGTTGTGTTCCCTTGAAATTTGCAAGACAAGCCCGAATTGCATGTTGCGACGTTCTTTGAGGGTACCCGTTTTTCTGCGTGGCGTTAAAGATAACCATTGCGGATTTTTGTTTAAGGAGGGAGGGTTGCCCTAAAACAGGACACATCCAAATAAACAAGGTGGGTTGTGGGCAAGTACTCCGATCGAGTGCATTGGCCACAAAGAGCCACCTATATTTTTGCCACCTGGCAACCAAACCCAAGCGACCAGAACGACACTCAGTGAGTGAGGAAAAGACCGTCAACTACCTCTTGGGTGTTGGGCCAATTTGGTAAGTTGTTGGTTGCCTAGGTTATTAACACACTCATACTTCCCCCGTTCAGTGGAATTAAGCCTGTTAGTGGATTGGCGAACCACTTGCCAACTCAAATCGAACATCCAAGTACCAACTTACAACACACACCCATTTTCACCTTCCAGCGGGACAGCCTGCGCGGTGAATGTGTTCCTTCGGGCTCCTTAGGGGTTCTTTCCTTCCCCCCCCCAAAGAAACCCCGTACTTTTCTGCTGAAGAGTCTATTCGGTTTCCCATGTTGGTTTTAAAGGGAATCCATCACTACTGGACATATGTTGCTGTCTTTCTTCCAAGGGACGTGAAAGCAAATGGCTGAAGGTGTCAATGTACCAAAGGTCGAAAGGACGTTCTGCGTAGGGTTCCTTAGTCTTCCTGAGGGAGCCTCCCCTTGGACCACGCCGCCCCCCGCCGAAGGATTCCATGAAGACAATTGCCATGTTCTGGCAGCGACTTCCCATTTTATCACGTCAACATGTGGCAGATGCAAGGAGCGCATAGCAGCAGCATTGCAAAAGACGCCAAACTTTCAGAGTTCCAGCCGGCCGGAAATCAGGGTTCCCTTTTGCTTTTCGCCTCTGGGTGGTTTCTTCAACATCATCCGTTTAAGGCCCATGTAAGGTGAGTGTCCTTTGACACCTTGCCCATTTAAGGTGAGGTGCCTTGGTGATGTTCTCAGGGGAAATCTAAACAAAACCCGGTGGTGTCTTCAACATCACGGTGAGTTGGCGAATTTAAGGTGAGTTGTTCCTTGGTGATGTTCCGACCCCTCGAAAAATCGGATCCCAAGGAGGAGAAGCAGAAGCGCAAGGAGCGCTTGGAGGCCTTGACCGCGCAGGCGAAACCGCAAAACGGTTCGGGGCGGGATGGTGCGCGGGGGGTTGGTTCCGGGTCCAAAATGCGCGGCGCCGCCGGTATGTTTTTATCCCCCTGTTGGTTTTGAAGGGAATCTATCACTACTGGAAATATGTTTGTTTATATATACATATATATATATATATATATATGTTTTCAGGGGTCTTAACCAAATGGAAGTTACATTGATCAACTTTTGGATTTGGGGAAATCCGGTGACTCGCCGGGAATGGGTGTGTCTTTTTGTTGCATTTTTCGTGGTTGTGGGAGAAATTGATTGGACAATTGCAACGTTGGTGGGTCCCGAGAAAAGACACGCCCGAGTAAACCCTGAATCTTTGTCTCGGTTGTCCAAAGTGATTTTGAGGTTCCGGACAAGGTTGGCCTTTTATTTCGGGTCCTTTGGGCAAGTGAGTTTTTGGTATGTGTTCTTTTGGAGGGTGCCCATTCTCACCTTTGGGTCAAAGGGAAAACAGCAGGCACTGCACAACTTCTTGTGCTTCCCTGATTTTGACACGTACCCAACTAGGCTTCTCTCAGCGTGGGAGAGGTTTGCCAACCACAACAAATCATCGCTCTCCTTGTTTGTGTTACTCCATGGAAACCACCCAACGCCACCCAATTGTTGCTTTTGTCTTTTGTCTTTTGTCTTTCCTGGCAATCCCGTTCATAGTTCATTTTCCCTTTCGCTGGGAAGACGTTGCAATGGAATCAGCGAAAATTGTCAGCGCCTCTTTGGGGAGATCATCAACTCAGGGCTTTGGAAAAGGTTCCCGGAAATTCCGTGGCCAGAAGTCTTGTGGCAGAATTGTACTGGGGAAGAGGCTGCATTGGGACCCAAACGTTGGTATCTTCTCACCTCCCGCATGACGGGCTAGTGAGCTTCGCGTGGATTTGGGGGAGCAAATTCAGGGAACCTCCACTGGCTCGTGAGTCACAATGAAGTGTGAAAACACATTTAAATTTGGGTTCAACTTTCTGGGGCAAATATGGGCGTGCAACATGGTACCTTATTGAAAACTTCTCGTGGACACTTTTGGTGCATTCAGACAAGGAATCGGGGTGATTCGGCAAATGGCAAACTGCGAGTTTTGACCATGGCATACTGCGGGAACCTTCAAATGGGTATTTTCTGTCTGGTTCCGGATGCAGATTCAGCAAGGCAGCTATAATGGTTGAATCTTGGACCTTTGACTTTGTGGGATGACTTGTGTGTTCGCGCCAAAGGAAGAGCCACCAAGACCAGCAAATCGACCAACCTACCTGGAATGATGATTCCCCCGCAAATACCAACAAACAATGGTTTCAACCATGGTTTCTTAGGTGGTGCGAAATGGATTTTGCCCATCCACAGTATTGCTGGCGCGATGGGCACGCAGGCGGACGAGATTGAGTTCTGGCTGGACGCCGCGGGGCATGCGCCGGTGGGCCCTGAGGCGGTTCGGGCTTGCGCGGTGGGACGGGGGAGGGGGGGACGGGGGTGAAAGGAGCGGGGTTGTTGGGAAACATTTTACATTTTTGCTTATTGTGGTTTAGTGGGAAATTCCCACTTAACTGCTAAAATATATTTTTTGCCCCCCTTCCAACGTCAACCAAGTTAGGGTTGCTTCCCCATGCTTTGGTGGTTGTCTCCAATGGATCGAGGAAAAAAGCGCGAAGTTTCCCCGAGCAACATGGCTAGGAGGGACCTGTGAACATTTGGCGCCGTTCTTAATGCAACCACAAAAAGGGGTCGCCAGTTTGTCAAGCCCTGGGCAAGTTCACAAAGGTTTGCAACCTCACCCCTGAAGCTTCCTTTACTGGGGGGTCAAATAAGTTCTAAGATGGTCTCTCCACCCCCCCTGAACCACCTTTTTCAGATTTATCGCATTTAGTTCATTCATCTCATATTCCGTTCTGGATACGGGAACCACCCTGAAAACCCAAAGCGACATGGCGAAGGGTTGCCTACGGCTAACTGCCTGGGATTTGGGAGAAGCACCCCCCTTCATCAGGGTTTCCGTATATCTTTACCTTGGGTGGTTTAAAACATCACCTTTTGGCTGCTTTAGAAATGAGTTCTCTTTCGGTGGGGTGTTCGGGGAAATGCAGGGAGATCTGAGTTCCCTCTTTTGAACATGTAAACAAACATGATATATACGGGTGTTGTTTGAGGGTATAAGAACACCCCCAGGAGAAGGATGCAAGGAAGCATGTCATCAAGACGATGACCAACAAAGAGTCGCGGAGCTTCCAAATTAGCTTAAATCGTGAAAAAGAACCTCCCGGTGATCAGCGAGAATGTAGAGCAAAAGCTGATGTGGCTGTGGGTCAAAACCAATGGTACCATTTTGGGGGTCCCGGTGCACCACCCAGTTTAGAACCGATTTTAGTGGGGATTGGGATGTTCACTGGGGGTACGATTTGGGTTTTGACCCACGGCCATGCCAAGAAAGGAAGGCGCGAGGCCAACTCACTCTGAGTCCTATCAAGCTCGCTGCATGATGCGTGCTGTGACATCAGCGGCGTTCGGCAGAAGCTTGCAGATCCACATCGCCTTCCCTACGAAAAGAGACCCCTATACATGAAACTCTCAGTTCCAGGAATGCTGAGTGATGTCAGGGGCAATGTAGGGACTGGGAAGAAGGACACACCTGAAAGAACCAAACCCAAGGGCTCCTCATGTCTTCCATCGGATGCGCCCGCTGGAAGAAAGCTGAGACACTATATGGTGCTATACGTGTGGTGAAATCGCTTCTCTTAGCCAACCGGGAAAACAATCCTGATTTGCTGAAGCGCAGTTGTAGATGTTCTGAAACGCAAGTGGAAGACAACAAGCCCAGGCGATACCCCAGTCCTGGAAACCCAGGGAACCGAATCTTCGGAACCCTCCCAAAAGCTCCGAACGAGCCTATCTGGGCCTATCGAAGCTTTCAGGAGGTCTATCATTCCCTTGGCACGAAAAGTGGCCCTAGCACAAGATATTCTCAAGCAAAGGGGGGGGTTCTGGTTGGCCGCCATTTTTCTTCTGAAGGGACCGGGCCGTTCGGACCGAACGGCCCCGGGCGTCGGGTTCCGGCTGTAAAAGGTGTGGGACGGAGCCTGACAACAGGGTCCTGGCTCGGACCCTTCGTTCCATATCAAAAACGAGGCCATATAAGTTGGTTCCACCCCCCCAAAAAAATGGGGGGGGGGTCCTGGTTTGGACCATTTTTCCTTCCAAACTGACAAAACGGCAAGTGAGGTAAATGATGATGAATCCATGGAGTCTTTGGGTATTCCCTTTGCAGTCCCAGAAGCTGGCTTATGTTTCCATGGCTCCTTGGGTTCATTATTCCCCATGCTTCTCTCCAGTTCCCTGTTGGTGTTCCTGTGGTCTTTCCGCGCCTTGCTTTGCCCAACTCAGAGAGGCCACCGGAGCCGTGGTCAAACGGTGGGCAGATCCTCCGCCGGCGCCAGGGCCGCGCGCGCGTGGAGCGCTTCAAGGCGGCGGCCCAGGCGGCGGCGGAGGCGGCCGAGCGCCCAGGCGCGGGGGGGCAGGGGTGGGTGGGTGGGGGGGGGGGGGGATGCCCGGAGGTAAATAGTTTTTCTCTACAGATTCACAGAAAAGCATGTTTCTTTAGTACAGTTGTTAACCATGGCGGCAAAGGGGTGGGGGCGTGGGGTGGGGTGCCGGGGGGGGGGGGGGTCTTGCGTTGTGCTTTTTATTATTCCCCTTACAGATTCACAGGGGTCCATTTTTCAAAAGAAAGCTACAGAGTTTCTTGGGGTCCATGTTCCCCCAAAAATATTCACCGCCACAGATTCACAGGGGTCCATTTTTTAAAGTTTTTTTTAAAGCTACAGCGTTTCTTGGGGTCCATGTTCCCCCAACAATATTCACCGCCACAGATTCACAGGGGTCCATTTTTCAAAAGAAAGCTACAGCGTTTCTTGGGGTCCATGTTCCCCCAACAATATTCACCGCCACAGATTCACAGGGGTCCATTTTTCAAAAGAAAGCTACAGCGTTTCTTGGGGTCCATGTTCCCCCAACAATATTCACCGCCACAGATTCACAGGGGTCCATTTTTCAAAAGAAAGCTACAGCGTTTCTTGGGGTCCATGTTCCCCCAAAATATTCACCGCCACAGATTCACAGTCGCCCAGTGGATTTCGCCCTTTTTGCATTTTTGTTTTGGGAGGGGCCCCTCTTAAAAGACTCAACCAAGCAAGAAAGGATGCCCCTAAGTTTCCAATGGCCACTCATCTGAGAACAGGGGTCAAAAACTACAGGTGCACAGGGGTTGATGTTCCCCCAATCAGGATGTTTCCTCAACAAACAGGGGCGTTGGGTTGGGGTAGGTTAGATGTGCGGGGGACGTTTGAGCTTTCAACCTGTTGCTCGGTTTTGTTTTGGTTGTTTGAGTTTTGGGCGGCTGTACAGGAGTTCTTGTTCCTGGTAGGGGCTTCAGGGTTTCAGAGTTCCGGAGGTTCCAGAAGGTTGATGGTAAAGATGCGGTGTTTTCGCAGATTGTTTGTTTGTTTGTTTGTTTGTTTGCTTGTTTGCTTGCTTGCTTGCTTGCTTGCTTGCTTGCTTGCTTGTTTGTTTCTTTGTTTGTTTGTTTGCTTGATTGCTTGCTTGCTTGCTTGTTTGTTTCTTTGTTTGTTTGTTTGTTTGTTTGTTTGTTTGCTTGCTTGCTTGTTTGTTTGTTTGTTTGTTTGTTTGTTTGGTTGTTTGGTTGTTTTGGTAGGTTGGTTGTTTGATTGTTTGTTGTAAAGATGGTTATCCCTTGTCAGGATTTAGTTGTGTGGCTTTTGCGATGGCCATGGTTGTGACAAGTGGGGCTTCAAGGCCACTTTCAGTGCCAAGGGAATGACCCTGCTTTTGTCCCCCACCAGCTGGAAGATTTGGAGTCTCTGCTCAAAGAAGCTGTGGGGTGGTTAGGAGCAGGGGTTTACTCTTAGGGATCTGAAATTATCAGATAACCTTCAACGGTGGTTTTGGACTGGTTACCCGTGGATTTGGAGGATAGATGTGAAGCCACCCCAAGCCTCTGCTTTTTGAAAGAAATCCGCGAGCTTGGTTTCGCTGAGCGCCTCGCAGTCGAGAAGCGGCACAGCGCTTCTGCAGCGCTGTACAGCGTGACGCAGTGGAAGGACGGGGTTCGCTCGGGTTAGAACCACGCCGCTCACTCACCCCTTTTGGGCTTTGCAGTGCATACGCATTTGGCCCTTTTTGGATGACGGAGTAAAAAAGCTGCGCCCTCTGAGCGTGAACGAGATCCACAACGACTCTTGTGGCACCTGTTTGATTGGGAGTATCCCCAATCGCTGGAAACGGCGACCAACCCAAATTTCCACAGGTGCCACGGGAAGGAGCTAGAATGGAAACCTGAAGGGATGGTTGAGAATGGGAACTGATGAAGCAGAACTGGTTGATTTTGAGAGATGAATTCCTTGTGTGAACTCAGATCACTTTTGGAAAACCCCCACATAGGACGGGTTCATGCGGGTTCTACTTTGATCCGTTGTCAACATCAAGCAGCACTCCTATGGATGGACCAAGTCCGCTTTGCACCAAGTTGGGATGGATGAAGCCCGATTTGAAGACTGGTTGATGAACCACCAATCTCAGCTAGTGCAGGGTTCTGTCCGTCCACAGTATTTGAGGGGAAGAGATGTCCCGCTGTTTGTGTGTCTGTGAGTCTGTGAGTCTGTGTGTCCGTGTCTGTGTGAAATTTAACAGACCAACATGTTGGAAATTAAAAAGCCCCGGGTTCCGGGAAGTTCCGCTGAATGGGGCAATAAATCACTTTTGTTTGGCAAAAACGGCAAACACGGCAAATGATCTTTTGTTTGCACGGGAGTTGGGAATCAATACGTCACCTTGCCAGAACGCAGCGCGTGACGCATACTGTTGATGACCAACGTATGACCGATATCACATGAAGAAGCCGTTCTTCTCCATCACTTACGTTACATCACTAGGTTTCACATGCGTTTGGCTAATGTTGCCGACTTACTCATTGAACGGATGATTGTTTGTGCCTGGTCTTCAGATATTGGCCTGTCTCCAAATGGGCGAATATCAAACATGGGATGGTTTCTCTTTGGTTTTGACTTAAACCAATCCCAACTTGGCACCCTGAGAAACAGATGCATCAGCGCCAGACAAGATTCTGAGGGTATGGGCTGAGGATCGGCCTTGATGTTGGGTAGCGAGTCCGTGTCCTATTCATGGTTGTTGTTGGGAAACATGTTATATGTTTGCTTATTGTGGTTTAGTGGGAATCCCCACTTAACTGAAAACATTCAATTTTGCTCCCTTCCAACGTCAACCAAGTATTGGTTTTTGTTTTGATAACATCGTCGGTTGCTCATTCGATCCATTGCCCCTGTTCGCAGAGTGGGAACCAACCTGACTGGCAGCTGCTGTAGTCCGGAGATGGTGAAATTGAAGCGCATGGCCCAGCTGACGTGGAACGTGGGCACGCGGGTGTGTGCTCACTGAGATAGTGATCCAATTGCTCGAAAGGGCCACTGAGCATTTTATCATTCAAAGATTCAAAGACCTATCGGCGATCGGTTATCGCATTCACTCCTCACATTTCACAAGCAACCCACAAGAAACACACACAAAAAAAAACAAACAATATCTATATCACATTGTGCTATAGCACATCATAGTGCGGCATGTTATAGCATAGCTTAATAGAAGAGCAAGGCGGGCTCGACGGAGAGCGGGACTGAAAGTGTTATGAAAACAATTGTTTGTTATCGATTCCATCATTTGGATGAGCGCTGATCAATGGATAAACCAACCATGGCGGGAAGCCGATTGCTATATAGGGCAGTGAATGGAGCGTTGGGATGGATGAGACCTATGAAAACTGGTTGATCCCACCAATACGTTGGTGTAGGAATTCGTTCCGTCCCCACCTCAATGGAGTTTGGGTGGGGGAATTTCGACCCGAGATCTCCATTTGTGGCAACTCACTTTCCATACCATTGGAATTGGGTCCCAGATTTCCGCCTTGAGGTTGGGGGGATGTCCATCCACGTGGCTATTTTGTGGTTGGTGGCATACCCCCCCCGACGAATTCTGTCCATCAAAGCGTCCCGGACCCATGATGGAATCCCAAACAAGGGTAGGCACAAGGGGGTGGGCAGTTGAGAGCCCTAGATTTCCTTAGGGTTTTCTAGGGTTCCTCAGGGTTCCTTGGGAAGCCCTAGGGACCCCACCCCCCGTATGGATTCACCAAAAACACACAGAGACACAGACACACACACACACACCCACCCACCCACCCACCCACCCACCCACCCACCCACCCACCCACCCACCCACGCACGCACGCACGCACGCACGCACGCACGCACGCACGCACGCACGCACGCACGCACGCACGCACGCACGCACGCACGCACGCACGCACATCCCACGGATTCACCAAATAAAGAATATGTTTTATGTTCCCCTGTTTGTTTTTAGAGGGAATCTATCACTACTAGAAATATGTTTTTGTTTTGTTTTTTCTCCAGGGGGCTTAAGCAAATAAATGAACAAATATCACGTCCCGTGTCACAGGAGTTCTTCCAAGGGGAGGAGCTGGCGGACGGCGAGCAGCAGGAGCTGGAGACCTTTTTCGCCCGCATCGACCCAGGCGGGGACGAGTCAAGGCGACCGCCGAGAGCCGAAGCGACTTTTTTCGCGAGATCTCAAACGCAGGCGCAGTGATGTCTGCCCTTCCGGCCGTTATGACCATTTCTCTTTTCCATACGGCCAACACTGGACTTTAGCTAGTCTGCGCCAAAGACAGCGGCGGTTTGTCGCTTCTCAGCGGCCAGGCCGGCCGCTAACCGGCGCGGAGGTGACAGCAGCGGCGGGCAACCCCCAGATCGGCCTGCCGCGGCAGCTGCGAGGCCGGGGCCTGCGCGTACCCACTAGGTCCCCCTGGTTTTCTATGGTAAACACCTCCTTTTTTTAGTAGAGGGTCGACATGATACCCTGAAAAAACAAGGTATTTGGAGTAGGGGGTATACTAAACCTAGGTCCCCCAGCTGGGTGCCCTTCTCTACCATTTTTTTGGTGGAGGGTTCCCAGACTGCAGAACAAATCGGGTACCAACTTATTCTAACCTCTACTGGAGGACCTAGCGGTTGTTTTGGTAGAAAATAGATGGCGATTCCTGGTTTACCTGGTGGTTTAGTCGTCTACCAGGGCCATCTATTTCCCCAAAAAGGACACCTATGTTCTTGCGGCTGTTTTGTCTTGGTGCGATGCGGATGGAATGAGGGATGGAATGGCCCAAAGAAAAATCACCCCACTGGTGGTTTCCTTTAAGGGGGGCCCTGGGTTCATTTCTTCATTCCCCACTGAGCACCAGCATTTTTTTTTGGGACCCCTCTTCCCTTCAGAACGAGTTATAAAAAAGCTGTGGTCTTACTTCTTTCCCAAGAATGTGTCTTGCAGGCTCGGGGGAAAAGGAGCGACTCTCTAGTGCGAAGGGGGTAAATGTATTTGGCTGTGGCTCAAAAAACCGGCACCAAAATGGAACCCTGGTAAGTGGAAACATGGACCAAAACCTGCGTAACCACGCCTGTTTAATTTTGTCTTACTGTAACCACCATGATACCAAGTCGTAGAACCACCTACAAGGGGGTTTTGGGCGCTGCTCACTTGAGCCCACATTTTCCGAAGCTCCGCGACCTGCGAAAGCAGCAACGTGAAAGGGAAGCTTGCCTGGTCGTTTCACCTGCATTAATATACCTTCTAGGTCCCCCAGTAGTGCCCTTCTCTCCGCTGTTTTGGGGGAGGGTTCCCCTACTAAAATAGACTACAGAGAAAAACATCGGGTACCAACTTATTCTAACCTCTCTACTGGAGGACCTAGCCTTTCTGGTTAGCCGTCTTGGTAGAACCAAAAGTCCAGGGGTTTTAGGCACTCATGTGAGGAGTCACCATTTCCGATAGCCTACGGTCAATTTGGGGAGCCGTGGGAGAACTCCGGAATTTTCAAGCTTCACGGGACTCACCCATGCTTGAATGTCCTCTTCTGGGGGTCTCCTTCAAACCTACTCTATATCTTAGGATAGACTAAATATGAATCAGAATCCAAAACAAGTTGCGTTGTTTCCCTGAATTGTCTAGCAATGCTTCGTGATTGTCATCCGGCCAGTATTGCCAAAGCACAGTATGTTTTGGTTTCAGGATCCAAGATTCAGAGGCAATGAGCCGTGTATTGAGTGCTAGTACTGCTAGAACAGCGAAATAGTGGCAACCTCCGATTTGTTTACAGTAGGTTTCTTCTAGGGGACTCAAGCAAATGGAACCACTCTCGCAAAACCAGGAAAAAAGAAACACACACACACACACCAATATTGTTTCCTCGCAGTGGTTTACAACACATATACCGATTGCATACCCGTTATATTCCCCTTGTATACCCCTGTCTCATACCCCTTCTATACCCATTTTATACCCCTTAAAATACCCCTTGCATACCCCGTATATGGTACAGCGGTAGCAACACGGAACCCACAACCACACCTACCTCTCCCCCAGTCCATTGCTCTTGCTTGCGAGTGCAGCTGAGGTTTGCTGGCCAAGGTGGCCAGCAAGCACGCCGCAGGCGATGTGATGGGGTCGTTTTTGTTTGCGTGGGACTCGTCTGGGGGTCTGGGGGTCCATTTGGAAACACAGGTTTGTTACGAAAGTCAACTGGGACGCCCCTGTGTTCACGTGCCATCTGGGGGGCTTTGGGTGGATTCCAAGGCAAGCGAAACTGGGGGTGTCCATTTAACCTAGCATGGGGATGCTTGACTCTGATTTTCTGCACAGGGCCAACGCGGGAAAGCCCGCCTCCTATCCTCGTGAATTTTGAGCCGGGTGTCGTCAGGGCCCGGTGTCCATACAAGTCGCTACCTTCCAGGGATGCCATCCGTCACTTGATCTCCTGCAGCCCCCCCCCCCATTTGGCTGTGGGTCAAAATATGTACCCAGTTTAAATTTTGACCCATACCCATTTCCGGCCTGTGTCACTGGTGGGTTTTTGAGGGTCACAGGAGCAAGAGATGACCTTTTTGTAATCACAGATAGCTTCAAGCATTTGTCGAAGGTGCTACTTTCTCATTCTTTTCAACCATTGTTCTTTTCCCAAACCTGCCGCTTGAAACATGGTTTTGGGCGGTTTTCATGGAACGAAGGCGGGGAAGTTGTCCATAGAGTGTAAGGTACAGTGGCTGTGAATTTTGAAAGTTAGAGCCCCCTGAAGAGTGTTTGGTGGACATAACTCCCCACCATGATGTCCACCAAATGGTCCTGTGCCCATTAAAGTTCATATGCAAGTGGTTGACGGAAACTCCAAGTGAGCAATCTTTGGCACCTGCGCCACCAGCAACTGCCCTGTTTGAGTTCCTATTCAAAGGTCGAACACCTATGTGTGGGTATGTGGCTACACGCCGCAAACTGGGAGAGGTTTCAAAGGAAAGCCAAGAGAAAACCAAGCTGTTTCACTCTTCAAGCTTTGGCAGACCGAATTGTCGCCTTCTTTGCACAAGCCTTGATACCCTTCAGCCACAGTGCCGTTTCAGCCACACACACTGCCGTCCGGAGTTGTTTCCTGCCGCAATGAAACTGGGACCTCGTTGTTGGGAATTTCCCATGCTTGCCTCACCCTTGAACACACGCCAAACACTGGACCAAATTGGGAAAGAGCCAACAGGATATCCATTTGATTCTCAAAGTTTCGAGAAGTCTTGGCGCTTGGGGTTCATGCCGAAGGACCCCAATTTTCAGCATCAACGCACCATTGTTCGCGCAGGCGCTCCATCGCAGGCTGAGGCCCAAGTGTTACAGGCGAGAAAAGAACGATAGTCAGCGGAACTCTAGATAGATCATTTCCCTTGGTGGTTCCTAGCTTCTTCTTTTTGTAAGTTTTAGTTTTTTAGGCTTTTGGGGTTTAGTGGGGTTTCCCATGTAACCCACTAAGAGTTGCCCAAAACTTCTAGCAGGCCTGACAGCGTTCCAACATCTCTCAGTCCAACGCGAGCCGAGCGAATCTGAGCTTTTGGTTTCCCTAGGTCCCCCAGGTGCCCTTTCTCCCCCCTTTTTTTTTTTGGGGGGGGGGTTCCCCCACTAAAATAGACTAGAGAAAAGAAACATCGGGTACCAACTTATTCTAACCTCTCTACTGGAGGACCTAGTCAAGGATTCAGGATTTACTTGGGCGTGTCTCAGTTGTCCAAATCGACCGAATCTCAGCTTTTGGTTTTCCCATTTGGATCCATGTTTCGTCGAAGTCCCATAGGGTCAAAGGTGATCACCTTTCATTTCTGGGTCCCTAAGCTCAGTTGTTCAGTGGCACCAATTCTTGTTCCCTTTCTTTTTGGTTGGCTGCCCCACTAAAAATGGTCCAAGCCCCAAAAAGGGTTCCCTTGTTTTTTCAGGGTCACTGAACAACTGAGTAAGGGCAACTGAGTACTAGTGGAGAGCTGGGTCTCCTGAAATTTGTGTCACCCCCAGTTGTCAAAGTTGGTGTTTTGGGATTTGGCAGTTGGGCACTACTGTGCAATACTGAACTTTAGCAATACTTAATTCAGTATTCCCAATCTATAAGTCTATAAGTTAGCATTGCCAATGCTTGCTTTAGTATTGCCAGTCGATGATTTAGGATTGTTTAGTTGGGCATGGACTTCTCAGCCTTTGAGTTGAGAAGGGCCTCGCGATGAGAGGACTGGCCTGAGATTTGCTTCTGGTTTCAGCACGCCGACATTTGCCGGACATGACACCTGGAGTTCCTGGCAGACCATTTCCTGGACAGACCTTGCCATGGGGGAAAGACTTGGGGCGCTTGTGGCCAGTTGTCTCGCTCCACGCCGCGGTCCATATGATTCTGTCCCACAATCTGCCAACAGAGCGAAGCTCCTAGGAGGTGATCTTTCTTGTATAGTTTGATTTGAGCGAAGTGGATTGATACTTCCGTCAGTGGCACCCTTTCTCTCTTTTCGCTCGGCCGGGTTTGTGGCATCCGAGCAAAGCTTCGCTTTCATGCGCTGGGACATCCCTCAGCCCAGAGACAAGCACGCCAAGCAAGGCTCGCAGGGTGGATGCAGCTCTGGTGCCCACACCGCTGGTCGGACATTGCTCTTCGCTCAGTTTTTTTTTGTGTGTGTGTGAACATATGTGCAAATGTGTGTGCTTCTATGAAAGGGTTTGGGGTTTAGCGTTCCGGCGAAAAAGAAACTTTACATTTTCGCCCACCCTTTTGAGTTTGCGCTGCAAATTGCATTGTCTTTCTCGCCTTTGAGTGTAAGTGTGGGTGCGTTTGTGTCTACACGTGTGGCGGGTGTAAGTGTCTGTGTGTGCGCGCGTATGCGTGTGCAGGTGTGTTTGTGTGTGCGGGCGTGTGGTGTGCTCATACAAGTCTTTGTGCACGCTCGCAAGTTGCTCTCCTTCTTTCCCGCTGTCTGTGCGAGCGCGCAAGTCCGTGCGCATGGAAGTCTATGTAGTATTTTTTGGGGGAGGGTTCCCCGACTCAAATAGACTACAGAAAAAAGGGTACCCTTATTCTAAAATCTCTCTATTGGAGGACCTAGTCTATGTATGTATTTTCCCTTTGGTCGCCAAGCTGGGCACACGCAGGCCTTGCTGGAGAATCAATTTGCTGGGCCTTGGGGAAAGGAGGAGTCTGGGGCCACAACTGGTGTTGAACAGGATCCCACCAGGCGCATGTCGAGGTTCTTGGATTCGGGCGCTGCCCACCACAATGGTTCTGAGAACCCTTGTAACCAAGAAGCTTCTACTTTCCGCTTTCCCGGACTTAAACTTCAGTCACTTTTTATGGGTTTGGACCCATTTTAGTGGTAAAACCGTTTGGCTACTTTTACTTTTTATGGGTTTGTACCCATTTGAGTGGTACAACCGTTTGGCGACCTTGTTGGATCCACTCGACCGGCGAGTCTAAGAACCCCCCGCAAGCGCGGCAGGCGAACGCTGAAACGCAGCCGAGCGCCGAGGCGCTTGGGCGCTTGGGCGCTTGGCGCGGGGCGCGCGGGGCCTTTTTGGGCAGATGGGGGTGTCATGTTTTTTCCCAAAACAGCTGAAAGCTTTGGGGTCGCAGCTCAGATAGGCTCCGGGGTGGTCCGGGGCGGCCCTGAGGTAAGGTTCCGCGAGGGTTCCACTAGGGTTCCACCAGGCCTCCACTCCTGAGCTTGTTTTGTTGGCACCCGTTTTGGGCCTGGTTTAATGACACCAAAGGGAGACCTCCCATTTTGTGGGTTCCCCGATTTGGAGACAATGTCAGATATCCTTTTGCTGCACTGTTGAAAAGCAATCCTCGATCCTTCCTTTGGGTGGCGTAAAGGGTTGCTTTACAGTGTTTTTCCCAAAGATCAAGGCTTAACCCTTCATGTTGAACAGCCCAGCTTTACATAGTGGCTTTGCAGTGCCATCAATCCCTAAAATTGGTTTGGGGCAAGCGGAAAGCATTTAAGTTCCTCTATGGCATGAACTGAGCTCTGGCTATGGCAGGTGAAATTGAGAAGGCTCAAAACACACCGACCATTTGTGGCCCATCAGTTTCGCAGTTTCACTTCCACACTTTCAAGACTTGACGTCACTGGAGAAGATCTTGACTTTTCCCACCATTCAAGTCAGGAAGTGAATCGCAAGTGGCACGATCCAATTCGGAGGAGGGTCCTGCATGCAGTTCGAGGAATAACTGGTTCTTGGATGAGTAGTGGTATCATGCGCAGGTGCAGGCGCAGCCCAGTTCTGCACAGACGCCGAGCGCTGTGCAGACGCCGGGCGATACTGCGAAGGCTCCAGAGGCTGGTTTTGCACGGATGCGGGGGTACGCAGGGGCTCAAACACATGAGGGTTCGGTCTGGGTCAGATTTGGCGTGACTCACTACGCCATTGGGCAAGCGAAGTGCGCTTTCATATCCATCCGCCAACAGCAGGTCTTGTCGCAGGAAAATCTACATCTTCTTGGCTCTACTGGTTCATTGAGGAAAAGCTAGTTGGCAGTTGTCAGGGTCGCAAGCTCAATTTCGAAAGGCAGATAACGCACACGCACCGCAAGCTCGTGGAAGCTTGCCATCACCCGAGTTGCCAAAGCATCATGCTTGTGCAGGTGCAGCCTAGTCCTGCACAGAAGCCAAGCGCTGTGCAGCCGCCGGGCGATACTACGCAGGCTCCGGAGGCTGGTTTTGCAAGGATGACGTATCCCGCAGTGGCTCAGTACTTGGGTGTTTGGCCAAAATAGTAAGTTGTTGGTAGCCTAAGTTAGAACCCACTCAGAAGTCCCCCTAATTACGCAATTAGTTAACCCTGTTATTTGTGAGTTGGCTAAGCACTTACTAATAACTTGGCCGAGAGTGCAAGTAGCAGTCGAGGTGTTTTGTTCGATCCGGTGCTTTTATTGCAGGCAGAGGGCGCCCGCACAAACAAAAGTGGATTGTTTCTGAGGCCAGTCGGCCGTGATTCAAAGCCAATGACACCATTTTTGTGTTTTTTTTGGTACACCACTCGGCTCGGGATGCTGGAAGACGATTGCCCTGAAGGGATCGATCCTTTGGTGGGTTTCATGTGGCTGTGGGTGATTTCATGTTGGTTGGGATTGGTGAATTCACCGCCCATTTTCGAACCTATTCTAGATGTTAGGACTTTAACTTTTTGCCAACTCATGGGTTTTCCGTATGAAACCACTAAAAGTTAAACTTTTAGCAGGGGAGCAGAAAGCAACCGAGCATTTTAGAACCTATTCTAGTGGTTGGATTGGGTTTGGATTTTGACCCATGGCCAGTCCACCGATGGGGATTCGATTCGAAGGCTGCGAAAAATGGGCACGCAGCGCAGGTCCAGCCAAGCCCTGCTTCCGCGCCGAGCGCGGCACACACTGCACAAGCTGAGGCGGGCGTTGTGTGTGTCAAGATAGGGGAACCCCCCAAAATGGTTGGTTTCCCTTCACCAGCAAGTGGGTCCAAACTGGTAGGCTTCCAGTAGCTTGGGGCAAGTTTTCGATGGGTCCCCGCCGGCCGCGCCATCTTGCCGTCAGGGGACCCCTTCCAAAAGTATGTGGACCTGACGGGTGCATGCTGCTAGCCTTGCCTCGGTATGCTAGCAACAGCTAAGTGCCCGTGTGCGGGCGATCAAGAACATGAATGGGAGAAAATGTGTGGCTCCATGATTGTGCTACGCGACCCATGCCTATGAATGCATATGCAACATTTGCGGGAACTGTGAAAGGCCAGCCAGAACACGGGTCTGTCTTTTTGCCTGAGAGGAGCAGAGCTTCTGCCTCAGTAAGGTTTCAATGTGGGCCAGTGGGGCCAGTGACTGGTTGAACAAAGTATTCCCTCAAGGAACATTGTCTTCCAGGAACTCAAGTGCAGGTTCTGTGTTTGTTTGTGGGTGCAACCCCTGTTGGTTGGCTTTGAAGGGACACCAACAGGGGCTTCGTTTTCCTATTTGAGACACCCCTGAAACCTTTTTTCGCAGGTGTCTCCAAGCGCTGCGCAGACGCCGCAGACTGCCGCAGCTGCTTCGGCCGAGGCGGGGGGTTCGAGAAATGCGGAGAGTATATATGGCTGTGGGTCAAAACCAATGGTACCATTTTGGGGTAGGTGCGCCACCCATTTGAAAACCTATTTTAGTTGGGATTGGGATGTTTACTAAAATTACGGGTTTTGGACCCATGGCCATATGCGAAAAAAGGAAGGGGGTCAACGGATGGAAATCCTTTTTGGTGCGCATTCGTATGTGCAAAATATGGAGGGATCCATGGAAGTGTTTTGGACATTTCCACTGGTCCCAAATCACCCTAAGGGTTTGAATGGAATATACAACCTTTGAATAGCCACGCGCATTTTCCGCTGGGGGTAGTGGCTTGAGAGTTCTAGAATCCAAAGCTGGTTTAAGAGGATCCCGAAGCTGACCAGGTTGAACATGGAGTTGGGGGAGGAGGTGGAGGGGTTCAACTGAACGGGGGGAGGTCCTTCTCCCTTGATATTGGAAGACTAGAACAATGGAGTTGGAGGGTATCCCGTGTTGAAACAAATTTGATTTTGAGTGAGGAGAGAATCGGAAGTTTGATGTGGCTGTACATCAAGTCGCAAGTGCACGACTTCTCTGTTGCCCAGTGCCCTTTGTTCTTTTTTTTGGGGAAGGGTTCCCCTTTAATTCCACCAACCAAAAAAGGATGCCTTGCTTTCCCATAGCCACTGCGTCACTGGGCATCTGAGACTTTACTACTTTTCGGTGCAGTTAGAACCAGAATCAAACCTTTGACGTGCACACAACATGTACAAGTTGACGTGCACTCAACATCCAAAGTTGGATGTGCACCGACATCAACAGTTTGATAGCCCAGCCTCTTCTGTTGAACTGGGTGTATGTCTATCCAAAACGCTTCTTTTTCGCCACAATGAATTTACTCCCCTCCCAAACAGGTCCCAAACCCAAGAGCACATTCAAGCATAATAATGGCTTTGTCTCAGGTGAGTGTAACAACAAGAACCAACATGAATGTCAGCAAGGGCTGGACTGATGGCCACTCCACACGCGCACACAAATGATGCGTCGCTTCTTGGGATGACAAAAATCAGCAATGTCTTCTGATTGGCGAACAGATTCTTTCGATTCAGACGTGCGTACCTTTTGCGGGATTTCACGACAAGAAGCACGGGATTCGTCCGCCCCAAAACCCATATTTCCCTGAGTGGCTTTAAACGGCAGCCTTGGGTTTTTTTTCCCATTGCCAACCAAAAAAAGAAAACCACCCTATAGCCCCTAGCAATAATCATGCTTGAATTCACCCCATGATGTTGGTTGGCAACCTGTTTCTAAGGCCCTCACGTCAATCGAGCCGCTGTACTCCCGCGGCAGGAGGATGGGAACTTCACGGTGGGAGAGTGGATCGATTTTTTCCAGGAGGAAGGTACGCCGGTGAACCGTCGATCGGTGCGTTGGTTTCAGTTCTGTTTGCTTTTTGGATGGTCGGAGAAGGGCTCGTTTTCACATGGAAGTTTGTCATCCAAAACGGAAACCAAGAAAGGACAGGTCTTGAATGTTTCACTCGCCCGAATTGATTTGATCATTCCTGGCTTTTTTCCTGACTTCCCCAAGATCAGGTGGTATCCCCAACACAGCAACTCCCACCCGTGGAGCTTTGCCGGAATGCCGGATCCTTCCATTCGCTGAAATGAATATGTGTTATTTTCCCCTGTTGGTTTTAAGGGGAATCTATCACTGCCGGAAGTATGTGTGTGTGTGTGTGTGTGTTTTTTTCCCCAGTGGTGTTATTTCCCCTATGTGAATCTATCACTCCTGGAAGTTTTTTTTTCCAGTGGGCTCAAGCAAGTGGAAGGATCCGAGCCACCCCATAGCTTTCGGTCGCGGAAAACGGGCCCCATCTGCCCAGAAGCTGCAGGCGCTTTGGACGACAAGGAGCGGCGTGAGCTGGAGCAGAAGTGCAAGGCCATCGAGTCGCCTGAGAAGGGTCGCTCCATGGAAGACATGAGGAGACAGCTCGGGGTGCGGGGGATTTTTTCGAGGCGGGTACCCTTGTAGGCGCTTGTAGGGCGGGTTTAAAGAGACACCACCAGGAACGAACAACAATTTGCGGGATAGATGCGTCGACACACCTTCGCGTCGGATAGTGTCGACACACCTTCGCTTCTCAAACATCGAGCGGTGCCATGTGTCCAACTGCTTTGTTCAGGTGGGTTTCCCGGGGTTCATTCTGACTGCGTTTGGACTGACAAGTCAGGAACTGGGATTGGTTTCCTGTACTTGGGCTCCCTCCCTCTCCCCTCCCTCCCCCGCAGCCCCTATGATCAACTTCTCCTCCCTGGCCACTGGACTGGGGCATTGTGCAACCCTTGGCTTCAACACGGAGAATCCTAGGAAACCTGTCAAACACATCCTCAACCTGGAAAACAGCAACATGTGGGTAGGTCTCCTCTTGGGGACCGCAGCCGTTGGATGATGAAAGGCAAACCAAAAGGACACCACCTCTTTGAGACCTCCGTGGGCCTCCACTATGTTGGTACGGGGTTGTCTGAAGCCTCTTTGATATCCCACATCTTCGGGTTAACCAATCCAGATGGGCCACTGTCAATATTAATCGTGTTCCTAACTGGAATTTGGTGGGTACCCCCCATGTCCCGATTGTAAATTGGTGTGTGTGTGTGACCCATAGCATCCCCTTCTCACTTGTTCCAACCTGACCTTTTGACCTTGTGACCTTTTGGTTTTCCTGTATTGGTCCATTTCTCATAGCCCCAACAGGTTCACCTTTTATTTCTGCGTTCCTACGGCAAGTGAGCCTTTGCTACAGTACAGTTGCAACCACAATGTGAATCCCCTGACCTGGGGCGAGCGAGCCGGGATGAGCGAGCCGACAAGGACGAGCCCTCATTTCCCATGTGGCTGTTGTTTTTGTTAAGGCTCGGTAACCGTTTGGGTTGCTTTCAAAGGGAAACCAAACAAGCCACTGGTTTCCGAGCTTCCCCGATTGAGGTCATTGTTCGGGAGCCATTCGAACATTTTGCCGTTGGCTCACATCTCTCCATCCTGGCTCATAGACCCCTTTAGACATACGTTTCCCTTGAAAAAACAAGTCAACTGACAAAGCGCCTCTTTTTTTGGCATGGTCCAAGAGAGCCGGACCTTCTGAAAGCTAGGGCCCAAGTACCTTAAGGTTTTGGCGCCAACTCCCTCTTCCAAGTCCTGGAGCTTCTCGTGGTTCCAACCTTCTCGTTCTTTTCTCAAGCACCGATCGCTTTTCCGGGGTCATGAATTTGACAGTTTTTGGGGGTTATCAAAGTCAGAAAGTGGGACTGTTTCTCTTTAACGTAGCACAATAATGGGGAATGGGGAGCTTTTTTCCTGGGTGTTTGGATGGTTTCCCCTATGTCCGTTTTTGGAACCTCCAAGAGTGGCGACTCGCCTTTGGATTTGGGGAAATCCAGGAAACCCTGCATTCGAAACTCCAAACGTGGCGATCGTTTTTCAGCGGTTTTGCCTGAAAGCTACGGATTTCCGAAAGTGTAGAATGATTTTGGGATTTGTCCAGTGACCCCTCCTGGATGGTTCCTGAAAAGCCACATGGTTTGACTGTAAGCCAGTAAAGTGGGGGAGATCCTAGGCAGACCCATGGCCCATGGTTTTCAGGCTTGTTCCCGAAAAGCCGCGGGATCTTCCGGGAGGTTCGGAGCCTCGAAGGTTCCGAGCCGTTTGCCGCCGGCGAGCTCCACTCGCCAGGAGCGCACTGAGTGGCCTCGGCTTGTCGCCGCGCCTGGAGGCTCCGGGCTCGTCCTTTGCTTTGAGCTGGGTCCGCGCTTCTCAGGTCTGTTTCAACAGGAAACCTAAAAGGACAACCAAAACGATTTTGCATGTTTTCAGGTCTGTCTCAAAATGGAAACCAAAAGGAGAACCAAACCAATGTTCCATTTTTCGGCCCGATACAAAGAGAGGCACCCAGATGGGTGTGCTTTTGGGGGATTTGGACCCGCGCAGTTAGATTTGTTTCGCTTCTTTTTCCGTGGAACCAAGGGTAGCAAGGCTACCGAGCCTCCAACAAGGCACACGCCCCCTGTTGGAAGCCAAAGAACACCAACCGTGGGAGGGGGCCAGAGGCTTTTTGTGGACGGTTGGTAGGTGGTTTGGTTGCTATTTATCTCACTCCCTGAGTTCCATTTTTTGGACTCGAGTCACTTTTCTGGGTTTGGTTGCCATTTTACTTTGGTGCATTTTGCTTGGATGTTAGGACTTTAACTTTTTGCCAACTAATTGGTTTTTCATTCACCACTAAAAGCTAAACTTTTAACAGGGGAGCAGAAAGCAACCAAGTTTAGCGGTAGCTGTCCAAGGTTTGCTTATTTTTTTCGACAAGTCCACTTGAGACAGAGCAGCTGCAGTTTTAGCCCTGCCACCCAGATTTGTTTGTCTTTGCAGAGCTTGCAGTGCTAAACGTTGCAGGCAGTGTTGGGAAGAGTTTGGCAAGCAAGCTTGACAGTGTTGAAGCTGGGCCTTGCTGCAACCCTTGCAAAGTGGGTTGGTTTCCAGCTGGTGCCAATGGGTTGTTGTTCGTCCATGCTTCGAAAGGTTGCCCTTCACAGCGGCAAACGGAGCCCGGTGGTTGGCACGTGGATTGGAAGGGGTCCCTGGTTCTTGCAGAGGGCTTAAATGGCTGAAACCACCGCAGAGGAACAGGGCTCCAGACCACTAGAGGGGAGCTGAACGGAGAGGGGTCGTCTCAAGGCCCGTAGTCTCAAAGGCACCGTGCGGGACAGATCCGCATGCCCCGACTTCACTTACCCAAAGCGAATCGACCTTTTGGACACCGTTTGGTTTTTCCCCTTTTGGTAAAATTGCTAGTCAAAGTACCCAAAAAGGTTGACCTTTACTTTCCAGGTCTTGTCACATTTCTCGTGCCGGTTCTGAGAACCACCTCAAAAAGGGTTGGTGGACATGAATCCCCACCTAAGTCATGTCCACCAAAGGGTGCCCGATTGAAATGCGTCTGCCCATAAGTGGCCAAAAGGGCAGGTTCACAGACATAGGTAGCCCAGTCGAAACGGTGTGCGCACGAAAGACGTGGCCCGCTGCTTTTCGGAAACTCCTTGGAGGCCGCCCGTTCGGGTTTGCCCTTACTTGCCCAAAGCAAATCGACCGCATCTGACCTGTTTGGTTTTCCCACGTTGGTTCAACTGTTCGTTTGGGTCTCCATGTGGGTCTCCAAAGTTAGCCTTTGATTCCAAACAACGCCAGTGAGGTTCAATTCAAAGTGAGCTTTCAGCTGCTTTGCAATATGCCAACTTGGATTCACATGTTTTGCAGTCATGCAAGTGATTTGGTTTAAGGCTGGAAATCTAAGTTTGCCAGTGGCGCCTTTTTGAGAATTGCTTCGGGTAAAGCACCTCTCGCCGACCTTCATTTGCCGATATTGTGTTGCCTTAACACGCCTTGCGTGTTTCAAGGGGAAGCGGTCACAGGTAAAAACCAACACATATTCTTTGTACCCAGTTGTCAGTGGCCTTTTTGGGGGAAGGGTTCCCCAGAAAATTCAACCAACAAACTGGCTTCTTGGCTTTTCGGCTTGTTGGTTTATGCGGCGTTTGGTGGCTTTTTTGGCTTTGGCTTTTCGCATCCTTTGCTTTCCCAGTCCCTCTCCGGCAGCTTTTGGCTTGGCTTTCGCACACTTTTCTTGGTTTTTTGGCTTCGCGCAGCCTCAGCATCGCCAGTTCCTCTCTCATGCAAGTGTTCTTTATATTTATGTTTATGTTTATGTTTATGTATGTATATATGTCTATGTAATCTATGTATGTATGTTTGTACGTATGCACTTCTTCGAACATAGGGGGGCTGCCGCGCTTCCCCCCCCCCAACCCCCCCGGCTGCTTTTTGTATTCTAACGCACCCTTTCTTGAATCATCGCTTCTTCGAACATCTTAGGGGGGGCTGCCGCCCCCCCAACCCCCCGCTGAATTTTGCAGTTTTTACAGAGATTGAAATACACGCCTAGTTTCACCAGCTTGGGCTGCCCCCTCCCCCTCCCCCCAACGCCTCCGCTCCTTTTTAACATACATACTTACATACCTACCTACCTTGCCGGACAGTAACCAATTGTCAGGAAGCCAAGCAAGAGAGAGCCTCCGCTCCCCACGATCTGCTGGTGACTGGGGATCTATATATATATATATATATTATATATATATATATATGTATAAGGGTACACACTGCTCAAGAGTTGCTTGGGCCACCAGAGTGCTGCCAAACGGGTTGGGTGGGTGGATGGGGTGTGGTTTGGGTTGGTTTAGGGTTCGTTTGGGGCTGGCTTAGGTTTGGTTTAGGGCTGATTTAGGGTTGGTTTAAGGTGGGTATAGTAGTTAAGGGTTGGTTTAGGGTTGGTTTATGGTGTGTTTGGGGTGGGTTTCGGGTGGGCTTAGGGTTGGTGATTTAGGGCTGGTTTAGGGTTCGGGTTCAGGGTTAGGGGTGTAGGATTGGTTTAGGGTGGGGTTTAGGGTTGGGTTGCGGGGTGCGAGTTGAGGGGCTCGAGAGGGGGTCTGGGGACCGTAGCCGTGAGTGTGGGGACCGGGCGGGGGGTGGCATAAGATCCGTGATTCGTACGACTTCTCGGCTGCCGAGGGGGGCGGGGGGGGGGGGGGGTTCCTTGTAGAGAGTCAAACTAAGACCGGAACCCGACGCAGCGAAAAAAGGACTTTGCTGGTCGTTTTCCGACGCCGAGGTATGCCATCTTAGTCTTCGGTCGCATGTTCAGCTTAGTCGGACTGGCAATATTCGATTTGTTACTGGCAATACCAAGCTTACCTGAGGCACCCAACGTGCCCTTTGTTTTACTTACGACAAAAAAACGCTCGAATTACCGATTTCTGCTCGACCCCGCAAAAAACGCTCGCACCCCGAAAAACGCTCGACCAAATCCCTTCTTCCATCCAGAGGACGGCGGGCACGGTTACTTTTTTTGAATTTGCACTCATTTGCGCGGATATTTGCGCTCGTTTTGCGGATATTTGCGCTTGTGTTGCACTTCGAATTCTGCTCGCTCCTTTCGAAAATTCAGCGACTGACCTGCCCGGCAGAGGTTGAAGAAGAGGAGCGACTGGTCTCGCCTTCAACCCGGAAGGCTATGTGATTTCGGATGACACGGCGCACACGCTGCAGGCTGAGCCCGGGCTTCGTGAGAGCAGACAATCGTGCTGCGTGTTTGCGTAGCTGTAACCTCTTGTGCCAGCGATTCATGTTGCCCTGAGAGGCACATGTGCGAGTGGCGCACCTACCGAATGGTCTCCGCGCGGATGGCTGCAGTCTGGCACTGTTGGCGACAAGCGCTTCTACACACCCACATATCCGTCACCCCTTCCCAAGACCTTTCTACAGAAAAAGCTCAGGTGATATCCCCACAACAAGATGCGGAAAACAATAGCACACTCCTCACATCACCACCCCCTTAATCCTCGAATGGGGGGGGGGGGGTCAAAAATGTAAGTTACATTTTGGGGCTCACTATCCCTGATTTTCGGGCCCGGGAGGAAAAATGCAACTTACATTTTTGGGGCTCAGTTTCCCGGGTTTTCGGGCCCGGAGTGGGGGGGGGGTCAAACATGCCGGATCTTTTCATCGCCAGTCCTTCTTCTCGTGGCTCAAGCTGAGATCGTGGAAGGCGTAACAAGTATTTTATCAAGACAAGGCCCGTTGTGGATACCATGATCATGTGTTTTCGCGAAATGGCTTGTCCGCTGTCCACGCACGTCCATGGCACAGGCCGACCCACCCGCCGCGTTTGGATGGACTTGTGACAGACTTGGTCGCTTTCAGACAGCTTGGCAAACTCATGGATTGCCGCCTGTGTACAAAAGTAATTTGATGCAGTTCTTGACGCAAGTGGACAGACAAGCTGCCCCCGTGATGTTCATATAAGATGACCGACCACGGTTGCGTCGAAGGGCTGCAAGGGGTGCAGGCCTGCGTCTCACGTCTCAAAGCTGTCTTGTTAGCTGCCGAGAACGGAACCGCTTTTCATGACATGGTGATGACACTTGGGAAGCAGGACCAGGGTTCGGGGCACGGGGTAGCGATCCAGCAAGGAGGAGATTGGAAAAACAACGCTCCGAATCAAGAATGAAAAGCCAAGCCAGGCCAGGCTGTTTTTGTGGGATTAGATCATTTCTAGGGGTCCCAACCTCAGCTTTCAGAGCCGTGCAATGCGTGCAAAGCCACGACGCAGTGTGCCTCAGATGATGGCCGCATTCTGCGTCTGGCAAGAACGCTCCAGAAGCCTACCGATGAGGCCAGATTGTGTGAGAGACATCTGCTTGTGCGTTTTGCACGGGCTCCGGCCATTACCTAAAGAGTGGGAGTTTTTGGTAGTTATGGCAAGACTATTTGCAAGCGTTTTGTTGGGGATTGCCATGTGCCACAAATTGTAAACACACGCTTTCGTGCATCTTTCGTGCAATGTGGGTCGCGCGTTTTTTTGCCTCCAGCCCGCCAGGCGGCCTGCTTCTCTAGGGCCTGCTTCCCCGACAACAGAGTTCGGTGGGCAAAAAGCTGGGCTTGCGTCTTGAGAGGCTTCCAAAACAAATTGGCGGGGTAACAAACTTTTCTGCGGAACGGCCTCGTTGCGTTTACTGTTTGGGGAGGGTCGCTGCAAAATCTGTGAACCTTGCCCAGCCTAAAAGCTGAAAGCGCGAACCTCAAGAATGTAATATTACATTTTCAGGTCCCCCCCCTTTGTTGGATTGCCAAGAAGTTGGGGGCGCGAACCTCAAAAATGTAATATTACATTTTTCAGGTTCCCCCCCCCCCTAAGGGGGTGGTGATACTCCTCACAACGCAGAACGCTACCGGAACCATCCCGTGGTCCTAGAAGCCAATCATTGTGGATCCCTTGCAACCCTTTCGCAACCCTCACAGCCACCCCGAACCTTCGGAACCTTCCTTGAACCTTACACCTGGAACTTCCTTGAAACTTACACCTGACCAGCCCCTGCGGCATGTGCACAGTGCACACCCACGTGTTTTGTTGGATACCTCTCTTTCATACATTTTGTATGCGCGTACAAATATCTGTACATTTCTATATATATATATATACTTATTTAAAACAAAGGTCAATTACAAAACAGTTGCGTCTGGGAAAGGGTTCGCTGCCCGGCCCTCCGTGCAAAAAACAGGGTGTACTTAGCGAAGGAGCAACTTGAAATGAAAAGGCCCAACACTTTGTCATGTCAAATACCAACCAAAAGAGGGTTCAGTTTTTCTAGAAATTGCCTTCTGCTGATTCCCTCTTTGTTTAAAGTGGTGACGGGACAGCGCTGGGCACGCCTCTTATTTTGGCCAGGAAAAGCTCCTCAAGATCTTAGCTGCCGCAGAGGCCTGGCAAAAAGTGGAGACTCCGGCAGCCTTGGCTGAGGGTCCACGTGAATGTGTCTTGAAAACAGTTGAGCCCAAGCGGCGGATGTTCCTTGACAAAGCTCTGGTCATGTCACTTTTGGGGCGCAGAGGTCAATGCTGGTAAGTCGTTGTTCAGTGGCACCTTGAGCAAATGGCAGCTTAGGTGCCCAAACCCAGAGCGACACCTTCCGCACGGGGCCATCCAACCTTCACACCAGAAAGTGGCCGTCCATTTTGTCCATGTCAGTTTGGGGAACAAATGTTGTCCATGGCTGGCGCTTGAGGGCTGTTGGAACGCGGCGTGCCACAGCCATAGTTCACTCCTCCCCCGCAAATCAACCTTCCGAACCCCCAAAAACCCAGCAAAATGGGGCCTCTCCCGAGGCGTTTTTTTTGCTTCTGAGCCGCACCTGAAGTTTCGTGCGCGCGTCGAAGAAACTTGTTGGGGCTTCCGAAGCCGGTGGCTTTCCTTTTGGAATCCCTTTAGCCCACCGCGAGCAGGGCACAAGCCTCAACAAAAGCCGAGCCCAAAGGGAAGCTAAACAGCGGGCCAGGCCCCCAATGCTATCGGCAGGCAGCGGAGGAAGATGAAGAAACCAACTTCAGCAAGCAGGACTGGGCCTTGGAAGCCAATTCAGGTTCTGGTTTGAGGCTCGGTATCCTTTTGGCCGTTGTTCTAGGTTTGGGCCGGTTTGGGAAGGCCAGGCTTGCCAGTCTCTCAACATGGGGCCCAAAACTGGTTGGATGTAACATTCTACTAAACCGGCCGTTTCCCCTGGGTTTAGTGAGGATTTTTGGAAAGAAGGATCCCTAGAAAGAATGGGAAAGGTACACCTAGAGCTGTTATAAACAACACCCAGACGGCAATCGTCTATCGACGGGTCGGAAAACGCTACCTGGCTTGAACGGAAACCAAACGCTGCTGAAAAGGGACAGCAAATGGAAGCCCATTTCGGGGATTCCAGGACAACCCCAGTTGTATTGAGGGCTCGGACGTGTTCCTGGGAAATTAAGGCTTTGGGTTTTTCATTCGGGAGTTGTTGGACCCCATATGCGGACGGGAAGTTATAGTTTAGCATCTGTGGCACCATCAAATGTTTGTTTGCATAACAAAAATACGGACCTGGGGCCTTCAAGGGGTCCTTCAATTTACCAACTTTCATTGGACCCCACTCAGTTGATCAACTTTTGGTTTGGGGAACTGCCGGTGTTCTGTGGCCCTCGAAAGTGCACATCAGTACACTCAGTGCCCTTTGTAAAGGAGGGGGTTCCCTTTGGACCAAACCCTGAGTGCCGATTGGAAATCCACTGGATTTCGGGTTTGCCGTTGTACGCCCATGAAGCGACCCCCGGATTTGGAGGTCCACTTTGGGAAGATATTTGTGGCATGGTCAAAGCACGCCAGAGGTCCCTCGGCACTGCATCCAGTCAGATGGTGCCTTTCCAGAAGGATTACTATTACTCTAGGGCTACCTTCCATGTCCATGTTTCCCGGGATCCGAATCTTTTCCGAAAACCATCAAAAACCCAGGGAAACGGCGATCGGTTTTTGAGAAAAACGATGGTTGAAAAGGCTACCTTTCATGTCCATTCTTTCCAGGGATCCTTTTTTCTTTTCAGAAAACCCATCAAACAACCCAGGGGAAACGGATCCGGTTTTTGAAAAGAACGATGGTTGAAAAGAAAGGACAAGGACTCAACCCCTGGAATTTCAGAAGCCAAGGGGACCTGAAAAAACACCCAGGAGCTGGACGAGCCCTATCTTTTCCCATGCGGGTGAGCCCCAAAACAGGGAGACCTTCGAAATGATTGATTCCCTTCAAGTTTGTCTTTAGACTAACGAAAAACGAGGCCCGAAACAACTTATTTTCTTAAAGTGAACATGTTTAGAGGTTCTCAGAATTGTTTTTCAGGGGCTTTGCCTTTCAACCATTGAGGATCATTTTGGGGAGGTCTTACTAAAATGGACACAGATCTCCGTTACAGGAAACAACTCGGCCTGTTCACCTTTGGTTTCGGTTGGGCCAATTTTTTGGTCACGGCTCCAAAAGGTTAACCATTTATCCGTCCAAACTGGGCAACTGAGAGTTGGTTCAAACCAACGTTAATATTCGCCATTTTGACTGTGCCTGCCAGCCTGCCAGCTCGTCAGGAGTGGATGGACTTCTTCCAGGAAGACGAAGATATTTCTGCGGAGGACAGATAGGGTCCAGGGTCCGTGCGGGCGTCTGTGTGGCTGGGCTCCCTTTTTCAGGCTGGTTTTTAGGGATACCAACAGGGAAACCGCTATTCCTCCTTTGTAAATACATTCAGCTTTCAATTTGGATAGCCTTTTCACCTCTCATGTATTCATGTAGTAAGATATCTAGTGGCAAACTTTGTAACACATGAATATCTCTGAAAAAGAGCATAATGACTTGATATTATTCTATCTAATATAACTGTGCCCCTGTTTTGACATCGCATTCAAGGTGTCATCGTGGGATGTTCCGATGTTCCCAGCAAAACACGGTTGCGATATGCCTGAACGAAAGCACGGACATTTGTTGAGGGGCAAGACTTGCTCTTGAGAGCGCCAAGAATCTTAAGGCCGACTTTGCAGAAGTTGAGGAAGCCATGAGGATGGCTTGTCCTGTTTGACGATGTATATTAACTATTAGCGATTTGATCGTCTTACCTAATTGGATCAATCATTTGATAAGACAGTGTGAAATAGATCATGTGATTGGATTCACTTCCGGCATGATCAGGCAAAAGTGTTCAACAAAAAACAGCGGAGATTAGTTAAAGCAAAACAGACACCCAGCTTCTGGATCTTTTTTGAGCCTCTTTAAGCCCGGGGCCGGGGGGCATCTGGTTGCCTGACCGAAGTGCACTATAGCTGGGTGAAGCCGCGCCAAAGCTTGGGGGGGAGGCGCTTTTCTGGGTGCCAAGGCCAAATGCCCATCTCAGCTTCGCCTTCCTGAATTGGTTTGGATTGTTTTGGGGTTGAACCCTGGTTCTTGTAGAGAATGGATTCTCGCTTGCCAAAAGCTGACCTTTCAAAATTTTAGACCTAGTTTCTCCTTGGAGCATTTGTCATGGCCCCCGACAGGTGATTGTTTTTGTGGGTCCAAGCTCAGCCGAGAATGGGACACCACTGACCATTCCGAGCCACGCTCGGGGCCAGGAGCTCCCGGTCTTGGATAAGCTCCTTGACCAGATGGACACTTCAGGCCCCTTCTGCATCCAGATGCGGCGGGCTTCGTTTTTGGAAGGAGCCCCTTGTTTTGCGGGTCTTTTTCAACTGGACACAAAAACACACCGTGGATCCCGAGAAAATATATAAGCTCAGGTGGTATCCCCAACTGCTAGGCGCTGAAGGTCTAGGATTTGTCTGCTCGTTGCGTCTCAGACTTCAGTTCTTCACCTTACACCTGGCCTGCACCAGTCCACCCCGGAACCTCCGGAACCTGCCTTGAACCCTACACCTGGCCTGCATCAGACCACCCTGGAACCTCCGGAACCTACCTTGCACCTTCCACCAGGGTTACACCTGGCCCTGACAGCTGGCCTGCACCAGACCACCCCGGAACCTCCGGAACCTGCCTCCAAAGGCCGGAACCAGACTCCCGCAAGCCACCCCCAAACCTTATCTGGGCTGAGACCCCTTAGCTTGCTGTTGGGGAAAAACATTTCGGGGCTCCCCCTGAAGCAAACAAATGGGCGCACGGGCCCATATTTACCCACACGCACCCTCCCACACCTTTCGGACCGAAGTCTGGGGATTTTGGGGCCAAAGTCGGCCACCGGGTTGTCCTGTGGGATGGTCTTCCTTTGCATTCGATTGCGCCCCCCCCCCAAAACAAAAATCAGCTCAGGTGATATCCCCAACAGCATGCGGTGCTCATTTTAGTGCTCGCACCACCCCGCAGCCCTCGCAGAACCTTGTGGAACCCTCGTGGAACCATGGTGGAACTCCTCGTGGAACCTTACCTCAGGGCACCCCGGAGCATATCTAGGCTGAGACCCCAAAGCTTTCAGCTGTTGGGTAAAATAATTGGGGGGGTAACTTCTCCCATCTCGTGGTGAGTTGCATCTTGTTGGGCGTTTTTTCCGAAATGGTCACCCCATGTAAAGGACCTTTTCATCAACCCCGACGTACGGCCTCAGCCACAGATCGTCTCAGTGCCCTTTCAGTGGGATGTTCATGCCACGAGATCGGATCAACCACCGTCTGTTGGGGTGAGGGTCCAAACCCTCGCCTGGTTTATGTGATGTGGCCTGGCTTCATTTGGCTGTGGGTCAAAAGCAATGGTGCCATTTTGGGGTAGGTGCACCACCCATTTTAGTCTATTTTAGTGGGGATTGGGACGTTCACTGGGGGTACGGGGTACCGCCTTTTGACCCACCCAGTTGGCGGAAACGAACGAGGGAATTCCGGGTCGTAACCACTTTGCCACCTTTTTTGCATACCTTTGGCATTGCTTGCATCTGGCAAACCGCCGAAACGCCATCGTTGTCTCAAATCAGGAAACGGAGCCCCCCAAATGGCGTCGGCTTCGCTCTTGGTTTGCCTTGGAAACCATCCGAAAAGGTTCCCCCCCAAAAAAAACGAAAAAACAACCGTGAAAAAGAAACAGCACACTTTGCCATGTTTGGCGTTAGACGTCTCCTTTGGCGACCTCCGGCTGCAGGTGAGACACCCAAACGCCCAGCGCTGTGCCATGCTTGCGCCATCCGGCCGCAGGCGATGGCCAGATCTCTGCGGAGGAGATCACCGCCGCGTTGAATGACCAGAGCCTGAAGATGCCTGCGGCGATTTGGCTGGGAAAGCGGAGTTCGGTTATTAGGGACCCCTCTATATTCCCCTGTTTGGTGGTTTTAGACATCACTGGTTGGGCCAACTTGGAGGTAGTCTTTTCGTGGGGGTGATGCTTAAAGGGAAGTATAGTGCACCCTGCCAAAGCCTAAGATTGGGTGTCTGAAGGGCTGCGGGCGCGCCCGGGGTGCGGGGGTGGGTTGCGTGGGCTGATCTAGGTTTCCATGATCGGGACCCAAACCGCCACACCACCCAAGCGAAGACTGTGAGAAAACACCAGGTAGCACGACCCCGAGTGACTTTTTTTTGTTTGACCACCTTGCAGCTGAGTTCATTTTGAGAGCGCTCAATCGGCGTCATGTTTCCCCATAAATCCCGTGGTGCCAGCATCTTCGATATGAACTCTAGGGGGAGAAGGAGTACTTTACTTACACAAAAGCAAAAAAACACTTCTTCGTGGCAGCGACTCACCGGAGATTAACGTTCAAACATTTGATTCGCCGCTCACCGCAAGTTGTCTCTGTACACAAAATGCCTAACTGTCAGAGTAAACATCGAATTCACGACACGCTTGGTGCATTTCCACAGGCACTCGGCTCTTTTGCGAGCTCCAACACAATCGCCACCATTGTCCCGCGTGTGACTCTGTGTTTATTGCAAGTGTTTCAGCTGTGACCCCAAGCAGGACGCTGGCATTGTCCTGCTTGGGTGCTCGTGACTGTGTGTTCGCTAACAATGATCATAACTTGGCGGGGTCTGGCCGAAAACGCGGCAGGCGCGCGAGACGTTCCACCGAAAACAACCTTATGTAGTAGTGAAACCTTCCGCCCAACAAGCAAAAGCGAGTTTCCCTCTAGTGGTGTACCCGCCATTTTCCCCTAGTGGTTTGGGGGTTGTGGAACTTCTTTTGGGAAGGCTGGTGGGGTTGTCTTTTTGGTGAAGCCTTGTTTGGGGTCTGCAAGCTGAGCCAAGCAAGAAGCAAGATGATCGAACCCAGGGTTCTGAACAAATGAGCCACGTGCTCAAAACCCGGGTAGATGATCCGGTTGGTAAGGGACAATCCCAACTAGAAATAGCTGCGGATCTCCGCATGGTTGTGGGGTTACGACCATTTTAGTACCGGGTTTAAATTTGTCACTCAAATTGGTTTGTGCACGTTCTCGGTGCACATGTCGCTGGCCGAGTTCTCAGTGCATGTTTCTCCATGTGCTTCGTGTAAGTTGAGCAAGTGTTTTCCATGAAATGCCGGGTTTTGAGCAAGTGACTCAAATGGCATCTTGGGAACCCTGTCCATCCCCCTTTGCCTTCTTCACTCGGATGTTCGTGGGGCCGAGTTAGCAAGTGCTTCGCCAACCCAGGGGTTACTAGGTGCCCCAGGATCGTGCCAACTTTTACCGTTTCTTTTTTGGGGGAGGGTTCCCCTACTGAAATAGACTACAAAACAAGGGTACCCTTATTCTAACCTCTCTAATGGAGGACATAGCTTCACTCCTTTTGAGTGGGTTATGACCAAAACGCTTCCCGTGACAACTTACTAACGCAGCGAAGCGAACACCCAAGGGACCAAATTTCTACCCTGCCAGGTTTTAATGGGAGCCCGAAGCCGCAGGTTTTCTGAAGGTACGCCGGCCATGTTTTCACGGCTCATGACCTAGCCTCTTTTTGTTTAATCTGGGACCCCCTCAAGGAGTGTGTCTACACACATAGAAGCCAAACTTCCTCAAAGAAGAATCACATGTTTGGAGGTGTTCACACCTTTTGCATTTCCCCAAGCTCTAATTAACTCAACCATGTTTTATTACCAGGTGCCAACCAAAGATGGCCCTCTTTGTCTTTTTTAGTCCCGTGTTCGGCTCATGCCAACCAGATCTGGCATGAATCAAACCCACGGGTTCTGGTTCCCCGAGGCCGTCCGTGCCAAGCTGGTGGAGTTCATGCAGAACGTGGGCTGAGGAATTTCTGCGCGAGGCGCGAGGCGGCACCTTGGCGGAGTCCCGGAGCGGGCTGGCAGAAAGGGGGTGGTGTTTTGGGGTACCCTTGGGGTGGGTTTAAAGGGACAGGCTGGGTGTCCTCCATTTTGAGGCAAAACCAGTCAGAACAGATGAGAGTATGTCATGTGAATGTTCAAGACGTCGCTCAATGGTTAAGTAGCATGGCACCTTTTCCCCCTTGGTGTTTGGCAGGCCCTCAAAGCCTCAAAGGGTATCCGTTTTCAAGTTAGGGTCGCTGCTGCCAAGCAGAGGGTTTCTGCGGAGTCGTGCTCCGGCCGAGGTGGCGGAGCTGTGCCGGCCGAGTGCTCGCCGCGAGCGATCCGCCAGCGCGGGACTCCTTGCCGCGAGAGAAAGCGAGTCCGTGGCTTTCGGTCCGCAGAGCTGCAGTCCTGTAAGGTGACTAGGTCCCCCAGTGCCCTTTCAACTTTTTTGGAGGCGGGTTCCCCCACAAAAAAAGACTACAGAAAAAGGGTACCCTTATTCTAACCTCTCTACCGGAGGACCTAGGTGATCATCCGCAAACCCCAAAACTGAAAACATGTGGGAGATGTCGACCCCTGGAACTCCACCTGGGATTCCATCTGGAATTCCATGGCAACCCATTTTCCCTATGAATTCTAGACAAGTGGAATTGGAGACCCCCCCTCCCCCTTAAGGGGGAATACTTGAGCCTTGCGCAGCGCAGCCCTGTCATATGTTCAACAAAAGTTCAGAAGCCCTTCCGAGGTAGGTCCGAGGTACAACGCGTCTGGGGCACTTAATTTGAGGTCGTTGGAGAAACTCATCCTTTCCCCCTAAAAATACACGCGGGCCACCCTATTCATAAATACTCTCCGGGGACCAAGCCATAATTATTCATAGGATCTCTTGGGGTCAGATGGGCCTGGAGACAAACATATGAAGATTTATGCGTACACTCAGGGAAGGACTCCGATGCCCTGAGCTGGATGGAGTTAAGACCTGAGCTCCTGTCAGTGTCAAGCAATGAGTTTTCTTGGCCAATCCACTAAGGAAGCAATAGACAACATATCCGCTAAGGAAGCAATACAGGGATCGTAGTGACCTTGAACATCTGGGATCATGATAGCAACAGTGAATAGACTTTTGGGTTCTGCTCCGATGTTTTGCAAGAAGAACCTAGCAATTTGTGCCAACGGTGCCTTTTGATCCTTTTGTCCTGGAACATGAGTTGCTCCCCATTGAGGCTTTGTAGTTCTCGTGGATCCCTGAAAAATGTTTCAACCAAACAGGGGACCACGCAGACACACTGACTTGCTTGTTTTCGGGGACTCCTGCTTCTTTGCCCCCCCCCTCCCCCCAATCAATCGCTGCGTCGAACACACTGCGCGCTATCGCAAAGGCAAAGGGGTGGTCCCACGCAATCCCTGCCCCCCTCGCAGGTTGACATTGAAGCCTTGGGACAAGCTCTGCAAGTGGTGGAGCAGAAGAACCTGGAGTACATGAATCGGGTTCACAAGCAGGACGAAAAAAATGCGCCGCGACATTCGCATGCCGGCAGCATTTCGTTGTTGAAGAAAAAACCAGCCGGTCAAAGTGGTGCAAAATGGTCCCGGAAATGGTTCTGACCTTTCTGGGGGGTGGGTGGCTCTACTATCTGATTGAACAAGGATTATAGTAAGGCCTGTAAAATCCATTGTAACCATCTTAGTAGAGCCAAAAGTCAATGGGTTTTGGGGACTCCTCACTTGGTGAATGTAATGTCTACGCTTTGCTAGTGGTAGCGTAGGGTGAATTCGAGGGTGGCCATAGCTTGGCACCTGAATGAAACCTTGAGGGCTCCGTTTTGCCGTATCCAAGGCTCTTTGCTTGAGCAACTCTGTATCTGAATCGATCCCACGACTTAGATCAATTGGAATCTCATTGGTGAAGCCAGTACAGGCAGGAGGCAAACCAAGAAGCTCAGTGACACTAGTGACCTGTGATCAGAGCATGTTGGCGGAGCGTCTAGGGCAACTTCAGGGTGGCTCAGCAGATCTTGCCCTTTGTCCCCATGATTTTTTCGGGGAAGCAAAGCGACCCGGAAGTGCCGATGCCCTTTTTGAGGGGGTTGCTTCATTTTACACCCGGGGAAGGTCCCTCCTGTTTCCTTTTTGGCCCCATCCAGCATCCCCACGACTGCTTTTTGGACACAGGGTTTTGGACATCGGAAACAAAACGCCGTCGCTAGCGGGTGCTGGATTGGCGCTGGATTGGCCCCCAAAGCGTTCAGCTTCATTCTTGTCAGTTCGTTTGGCCTAGGCTAGAAGGACTTGTCGCCGTGAAGCATGTGTGTTTTCAGCGCTTTCACATGGGACCCTTTAATCTTGGCTGTATTTGGTTGGATCTGTAGCCTTTGACTGTTTGGGGCCGTACATATATATATATATATATATTATATGTGCGTGGTTCCCACTCGCCAAACAACAAAAGTCTTATAAACATGTCGAACAGGGGGCAACAGCCTAAGCAGTCAATTCCATGTCTGGTGGGAGGGTAGCAGAGCAGATTCGATTCCACTTGCATTGAGGCTGCACGTCTGTGGCAGCGGAAGCCGTGTGAGCTTCCAGTTGTCGATTGAGTTCTTGAGATGGCTTGAACGGGGCTAGAGGAAAACTTCCATGAATTTCATCATTATCTTTTTGATAGCCCTGGTTGTCAAAGGGCGTGGAAAGCCGTGACTGTAAGGGTAGCTTCCCCATTCTTTCCAGGGATCCTTCTTTCTAGAAAACCGCCAACAACCCTGGGAAAACAGCTGATTTTTGAAAAGAACGATGGTTGAAAAGAACGGACAAGGACTCAACCCCCAGTGTGACTGCCAAAAAAAACGGCCCGGCGCAATATGAATGCCCGCGGCAACGGCTCGCCCCGTGGGCCGCCCGGTTTTCGTTTTGCGAGGAGACCAAAGAGCAGCAGCTGAAGGGCGAGAACGCCACCCTGCAAGAAGAGGCATCATTGAGCAGGGCTCCTTAAAAGATGGCCAAGTTGCAACCATTTGAAACATGTGGCTTTTTCAACACCAAAATATTTCGGGACACCACCATTTGCAAGCTGCAATGTTCAGGTGTATAATGTAAGGATCCCTGTTGAGCGATCGTCTGCCGTTGATGGGAGCGTGTTTTTTTGAGAAGGGGTGTTTACCCCCCTCAAGGTGTGTCACCCCCCTTCAGGGAAAAACCTTAGCCACCCTTGCCATGTTTCTCTTCCAGGAATAATATTCAGATTTGTATTTGGCTTGGTAGGGATTCTGTAGTATGGAAGCACGTATAACATGTGTTTGTGTGTGTATGTGTTTGTGTCCCACTGTTGCGCGGGAAGTTGTGCAACTTGGGGGCTCCAAGAGCATTGCCTTTTCTTGGGGGTCCCCTACTTTGACTTGCAAATCCTGCACCACCTTGAATCCATGAGAAACCAGTATTTGCTGGTATTTGCATGGGTTCTATCCTCCCATGGGTGCAGGATTTCGTCCATCCGCAGTATGAACCTTGGGGGTGAACCAAGTCTGACTCATGCGAATTCGCATCTGGGCCAACCATCTGGGCTGTCCCCCTCCCCCCAAAAGCGACGCGAGCTCAGCTTTCCTTGGCTTTGGGGAGGAAAACCCGGGCCGGGACGTTCTAAACATCCGTTGGAACTGGTTGGTAGCTCATCAAACTCATTCCCACTTTTTGGGCGGGTTTGGACCATTACAGATGGACTTTGGACCGTCTTAGAATCTTAGGACATAAGCAACAAAGGCCTAGACGCTTTTTGGGGCCAGTTGGAGGTGAGTCGTAATTTTCTCGAGGCATGCAGGTAGGTCATCGCAAGTCTGTCTCCTCTAAAAGTTAGGGAACCAAAGGAAGTTGTTCTGCCCTCAAGAGCTGCTTCGGTTCCATTTGCCTGGCGAATCAGCCGCCAGGTGGAGCTGATTCGCTCAGAGATAGGCGCGGGCATCTCGCTTGCGGTGCCTGAAGGCATGCATGAGATGATATATGGCCACTAGGCCGGCCCCCTCCCCCCATGATCATATATGGCCACTATGAGTTCACTTGCCCAAAGCGCATCGACCTTTTGACCTTTTGCTTTTCCCATGTTGGTGTTTTTTGTTAGCAAAGTGCCCAACAGTGTAACCTTGTATTTCTAGGTCTTTTGGCAAGTAAGAAAGGGATGTACCCTTTTTGTTGCCTGGGTAGTGGTAGTGTGGCGGGCCATAAAAATCATGTGGACCCCTTGAACTCTCGCTGCGCTTTCGAGGGAGTCCATGACTTTGACAACCGATGCAAACACATAGATTATTTTCCAGCAAAAGGACGGGTCCGGAAACCAGGTCACTGCTGTTTGCTCGTTGCAAACCTCACCCCCTTTTTCCAAATCATTGCCTTTTGCCCACTTCAAAAAGCAAGAGCAAGAAGCAGGCGAACGACACTTGATTGGCAATGCCCCTTTCCTTCTCACATTGCCAGCGATTTTGCAGTGAGGCCAGGCAAGAAGCGGTTGCGAGGCATTGTGAATACCTATTGTGTCCTCAGCAATGCCATCCCTTACATCAAATCATGGCTTCACTGTTCTTGGCATGTGTTTTTGTTGGTTCTGTTCATTTTTACTGGGGGTCTGCGAAAAACAAAGTTTTTAGCTACCATACCAAGAGTAGAGATGATGAAGATGGAGGGTGGCTCAGGGGAATCTGGGTGATTTCCTTTGGGTTTCCCTGCAAACCAACCCCAAACGGCTGAAAGAAAGGTACACCCATGCAGTGAATACTTGGTGCTCCATTGGCCATAAGTATGGATATAGTCCAATGGTTTGGGGGCTCCAACCCAAATGTCAGCCACAGTTTCGGAGACCGAGCCGAGAAGTCGCTTGCTGGACTCCCAACCTAGTAGTTTATGCTTGGGTGTTCGATTCGCCAAGTTCGCAAGTTGCGACGGTAGCCTATGTTACACCCCACTCACAAATCCCCCCAAGTGGAATTCACCCTGGCATCAGTGGGTTGGCTAGCCACCCTCTAACTTGGCCGCCATCCAAGCAGGAAGCTGAGTTGCTTTACAGCTGGTTGAGGGCTCCGGGCTCAAGCGATTCGCCAGATGGTCTCCGGAAGCAGCTGGAGGGGGACGAGGAGTCTAGATCAAAGCCGGGGGCCCCAGCGCGAAAACGAGGAGAGATGGTGAGCTCACCAAGCTGATTTGGACCCCCAACGTGAGGAGCTTCCCCTTGAATTTCGGCCATTTCAGTGGTGGTTCTACTGGTTTAGTGGGCAGAATAGGAAGGTCCGTTCTGCACGAACCTTTATAACTATAGTCTGATGAATCCGTCCCATCTTGGAGGGTATCCTTGTATTCTTGAGGAACCATCCCTCTGTCCAGGTTGTGTA